TTCTACCGTTCGGGGGGCTGGGGCGAGCATTCGGCGAAGCGGCGCTCGGCTCAAGCACAGGATACGGGCGCGGGGGATTATAATGCAAGTGCGAGTGCGAGGCCGGGCATGGGACATGGACAAGGGATGGGTGGAGAAGATGTGCGGCATTTTGATCGCGAGAAGCATTTGAGGACGCATGAGAATCATGAGAAGCGGTTTAAGCACAGGGAGCGCGGTAAGAAAGGAGGTGGGTGGGGGGCTGTTGAGGGGGAGCCAGGGGGAACGTTGGGGAATTTCCTGTGGGTCGGAGGGGTTATTGTGTTGGCGGTTAGTGTGCCGATGATGTTGGCGGGACGGATTATGGGGGGTGAGAGGAAGAAAAGGGGGAGTGGGTAGTGAGGGATCGATACCCGGAGAGATGTGGTATTTGTGTTTGTATTTGTACGGGTGTGACATACATAAATAAGCGTGAGGAGAGTAAACACGATGAAAGAATGCAACGTTTGAAAAATCAAGAATGGCAGCAGCAGATAGTTTTGTGTAATTTCTTATTTTACAAAGCCTACCCATCCACCACCCACATCCATTCACCCTAAATGGAATTCATGAATGCACGCCCAAGAAATGCCTCTACTATCGTACCATCAACTACCCCATGTACAAACACCGGTATAGGAAATCTAAGAGTCGAAAGTGAAAGAAGCGCCGATCTTGTGCGTAGCTTGGTCGAGCTTCTGGGTATCAAAGGAGGCGCCGAGGCCGAGGGTGACGCCTGGGCGGAGGAGGACGTTGTAGGCGAGAGCTGCAACACCGCGGTCGTTGATCTTGACCTATATCATCATATCACATATCAGAAAGCTGTCTCATATCATACGCCTACATGCATGCAAGGAGTGGCTTACCTTGGCGAAAGAGACAGGGTCCAGTCTGTACTTGCTAGCAACCTCAAGCCCGACCGTGTTCCCGCTCTTCGAGTCCCATGAAGCCTTAGCACCAGCCTCGACTTGCGAGTTGACCTTGTGGTAGTACGAGGCGGCGAAAACGCTCAGGTTGTTGCTAGCCGTGATGGAGGCAGTGTATTGAGGAGCACTGTATCCGATTGCGGCGCTGTAGTTGGTGATGGCAGCCTTCTGGACATCGTAGCCGGCAGACGCACCAGCGAGAAGACCATCCTTGCCAATGACGGCGTCGACGTTAGCGGTTGGGCCCTTCAACAGATCGAAGAAGGCACGTGTGTGCAGGTTGGCCTGCGCGTAGTGGAGGTTGACCTTGCCGCCGTATGCTTGGGAGGCTGGGAGGAAGGAACCGATGAACTCAGCCTTGACACCCTTAGCGATAGAGTCCTTAGCCTCGATCTTGGTCTCGAGAGCGTTGAGGGTGTTCCAGGTTTGGGTGAGCGTTAAGCCTAGTGAGCGGCGGTAGAACATTAGCAATTGCGCTTGACCGGTGAGAGGAGAGAGGCCGATGATGAAATTGACGTGATTCGAGGGAGCAAAAGGAGGCATGATCTGGATGTTTAAGTTTTTCAGGCGGGAGTATTTACCACTGGCCTTGTCGGCGTATTTGGCTTCAAGCTATACACAAAGAATCCTCCCATGTCAGCGTGTGGTTCTATTTGTTTTGTTGAGCTTGAGAATGCAGTACCAATCCGCTGGTGGCACCCTCGTGTGTGTTCTTGCCGGTGACCTTGAATGCAACATTGTTGGGGGTGTTGCTCTTGACCTCAAGAGCTGCTGCAGACAAGTGGTAGAAGTCCTTGTTGAGCAACTGGAAGAAATATTAGCTGGAGCTCGGCACATCGTCGCAAAGGCATTGGAGCTCAACTTACGTCGTTTGAGGGCTTGGAGATATCGGTGAAGGCTGGGACAGACATTTTGATTGGAGGTAAGGATTTGATTGATGGATTGAGAGGAAGATTGTGGTTTATAGAAAGTGTTGTTTGGAGAGGTTTGGACCGAGAAGAAGTTGTTGATACATGCGGAAATTATGCGCAGACCCGGCAGAAATCGGACCGGGGCATCAACGTGCATTTTGATTGGCGAAAAACGCATTCGTAGTTCACCTGACCTACCACGGCATTAATAGGGGCTTATTTTGAGAGCTTCTTAATCTACTCATGGCATTTTGCAGACAATACTGTAGCTAGTAATTCGCGTCAAAGCTTTATATATTAATATCTACTGGTCTATGCTCGAAATACAAACTGCAGAATTTTGCTTCTGGCTCCCATCTACGCAACGCCGCCATCCAAAGCAGCAGCTGACTTCCACATAAAGTCCCTAATTGTGCCGCGAAAGCTAGAAGATCTTGAGAATGTAAATATCACATGTCTTGGCGTTCTTCCTTCATTTCTTCTCGTCGTACTTCTGGTTATGAGTTGAGATAGCTCTTCCACTGGGATCAGTCTGGTTGGACCAAGTCGGCAGCCACCTAACAACAGTATCTGCACACTGTGGAGGAAAGTGCTCGTCAAACATCGTTCGGTACCAGTATCTGATTATGATCAGCAAAAATTCAAAATCAACTCTGGCTAGAGAACTTACGCTTCCTTGGTATCTGGAATATCGCTGCCCCATTCTGGCTTAGGGTTCTTCATCATCTCATCAGTAACATGAAGTTCAGCGTTGTCTTTGAGCGCATCAATCCACCCGTAACCAACACCATCACTAAACTGCTCCTTTTGTCTGTAGAGAATGTGGTCTGGCAAATATGGCTTGGCACCTGGCTCGTCGGACATGTCGAAAGCCTTTCGAAGAATGTATTTCTCAATTCTGTCTTTGGTGATCAACTTGTCTGCGGGATCAATGTTCATTGACACTTCCAAAAACTGCATCATGTTAGTATAAGTTGTCTGGTATTCGATTTTGGAATCTTGCCTCTTTATCCAAGAAAGGAACACGAGCTTCAAGACCCCATGCCGAAGTCGACTTGTTGGCTCTCAAACAATCCCAAAGATGCAAGTGCTTGACTCGGCGAACACACTCTTCATGGAAAGCCTCCTTGCTTGGTGCAGCGTGGAAATATAGATAACCGCCGAAAATCTCATCACTTCCCTCCCCACTTAGAACCATCTTGACACCCATAGCCTTGATCTTTCTCGCAAGTAAGAACATAGGAGTAGAAGCGCGAATCGTGGTCACATCGAAGCTCTCCAAGTGGTAGATAACATCAGAAAGAGCGTTCAGGCCATCCTCAATCTCGAAGGTCATGTTGTGATGCTTTGTGCCAAGGAACTTGGCAACTTCAAGGGCAGCCTTGGTATCTGGTGCGTTGGGAAGTCCAATGGAGAAAGAGTTAAGTTGAGGAAGATACGTCAACGTCGAGAGCTTGTTATCGTCATCAATGCCAACTAATCCCTCTCCATGATCTTCGTCCATCTTTTCGTCCCCCTCTCCACTCTCAACCTGCTTCAGCGCAGCAGCCTTTAATCGCAGCGTCTCCCTTTGAGCAATAGCAGCAACCAAGCTCGAGTCAAGACCACCAGATAAGAGCACGCCATATGGAACTTCAGCCATCAACCGCTTCCGTACCGATTTCTCAAATGTTTCCCTCAACAGCTTATAATCGACGGGCGTTGTAGGCACGTTGGTCGGGTCCCACCACGTAGGGTCAAAATATCTCGTCGTCTTGTCCGTCTTGGAATCATAGATATGCCCGGGAGGAAAGGAAATAATCTTGTCGCAAACATCATGCAAACACTTCAGCTCAGACGCAAAGAACGTTGCTCCTGGAATCTTGCTCGACCAACCCTGGTAGAAACTCACGACTCCAATTGGGTCGCGCGCGGCGACTACGCGGTCTTGGGCTTTGTCGTAGAGGATAAAGGAGAACATGCCATCGAGGTGTTTGGGCGCATCGATACCATATTGCATGTACTAGCAAAACATAATATTAGTGGCCAGTTTTTTTAAGGGGGTTTGGGGGCCTCTTACAAGTGGGATTATGACCTCGCAGTCCGAATGTGTCTTGAAGTGGTAGGAAGTCTTCAATCCCTTCCGAATGACTCTGTGGTTGTAGATCTCGCCATTGACTGCAAGTGCAATGCTGTCGTCCTTGTTGGTAATTGGTTGCGCTCCACTGTCAACACCGACGATACTCAAACGCTCGTGAGCAAGGACTGGTTATTGTTAGTCATACATGGCCCATTCTTCTGCTGAGGACGACATACTGGTTCTGTTGGCAATAAAAGTTCCACTCCAGTCCGGACCTCGATGTCTTACCTTTCGGACCATTTTCAAAGCTTCTGGCTTGAAGGCTTTGGCTTCCGGAACATGATGGCATCCTACTATTCCGCACATCGTAATGCGGGTGGTGTGATTGGGGGGTAATGTTGTTGCTGTTGTTGGAGGGGCGGTGACAATCTCAGAGGCGATTTATGGTACTGTCTGGAGCAATTGGTGCTAAAGGAAGTTCGGAGACTGTATTTGAATGTCCTACAGCAATTGGATATTCTATAGCTCTTGGAGGAGATGTTGCAAAGGTAATGTGGTGGGACGGTATGACTCGAAGTATAAATTATTTTGATAGTAAGTGGGGCGAGGGGCGAGCGAGGGGTTGTTCTTTCCGATTTCGGCCTTGGATGCAGGGGTTTCGGATAAGCTCCTACGGTTCCTACCGCTCTTCTTTGTCTTTGATAGATACAAGCAGGGGAAATGTTCACAAGAACCGATTAGAAGAAAACATTTGTGAGACAAAGGAATACTGTAGTCTTGTTCTTTTTTTTCTACCACATGAGGCAAAATCAAGTAATAGTGCCTTATCGTGGATTGAAAGAAAGTCTTCTGTAATGTCCAAGGTGCATTCGGACAGGTATCATTCATATAACAAACACCCAGCTCCATGGATGCATACCTTACGTACCTAGGTAATGTCCTATCTGTTGTAAAGCATTCTCCTTTCCAGATAATCTCCATATTCAATACCAGCATGCTTGAGGATAGGAATGGTGGCATACGAGGTGGAAGATCGCCGTGTTACCACACATACCATTCAGCTCTGTCCAAGCATAATGTTCCAGCTATCGTATCTTTTCTCCAATGTTGAACATTCCATTTACATGTTTATACATCGTTTTTAAGAGCTTCCCGGTTTGTTGACAACCTCACACCAGATTCAGTCTTCAACCTTTTCATAAACACCTCTCATCTTAGCCTCCCAATCTCTTCTCTACGCCGTGTTCTCGAGGACTTTAGCCTTATGCCAGTCAGTACATGGCAGTCTGCCTAAAAGATTCTGGGAAATGCCTACCTTGCATGCTTATGCTCTGTTGTCTACTGCCTTCAAATACACTCCCCCTTAAGGCGTAGCACCATCTCTTCTTTCTGTTGGTCCACATACATATTAACGGTAATTGATAAGACCTCCCCTCCCCTGCTCGGACGACACTCTCTTCCTCCGTACCATACATTTTCTCTTTACCTCCGTTGAGTCTACCATCCAGATCACGCATCCATCCCGCCTAACACTCAACTCGTGATTTAGTCCCTCCCTCCCTCAGGCGCAAGAATCACAAGTCATTAATCGCTGCTCCGAGAAGATGAGCAGTGAGGCAAGCGTCATATTTGTATCTATTCATTCTTCCTTTCTTCAAGTCTACTCGTTGGAGCCGCAGATGATTCCGAAATGCTCGTGGGAGCCAGCAGAGATGCGGATTATAGAGACGGCGGTCTTTAGTACCACGCATATGCCTGTGAAGTTGGAGATCAAAAACTGACCCGTGTATTCAGGGCAAGGTAAGGATGATATAGGCACGCAAGCCAAGGTAGTAAAAGATGGTATGGCACAGGTAGATACCAATTGATGAGATTCAGCTCTGTCAGAGCATAATACCCCAGCTGTAATGAGACATTTTCCTCTAATAGGAAACTTCGAAATCGGATGTAAAAACAGGGACTGTTGCTATTCGCGTTTACTGTAGTAGAAGGTATTTATGCAAGAATATATCCCAGCTGCTATGGGGCATTCTCTTCTCTTTGGGACATTGAGAGCCGGGGAATAAGAAAGGCCATTCCTGCTGCTCACTTCTGACTTCGAGGAAAGATAGCCATCACTATGCACAGGTGGTGTAAACAGTGTCGTATTTCGTGACTCATTATCCATTTCATAGCTTATCGTCTACAGAGGATATCGCAGTACCAGAGAATACGCCCACCATACCCTCTCCATCCATCGAATCCCTAACAAATCAATCCCACCCAACGCCAATGCTTGCTTTAATATCCCATCCCCACCACCACCCATCCATCACTGCCCTCCGCCCCTAACCTGATCTAAGGAGCTGGATTCTCCCGCACAATCCTCTTGATCTTCGTCTCGTAAGCAGCCCGGTCTTTCTTAAACAGGTTGTATGCGTCGGCCTGAGCTGGCGAATCTGGGTTTGGGTCGTTGAGAAGATCCTGCACACCAAGCAGGATCTGCTTGATGGTAATCGCCGGCTTCCAGCCCTCTTCTTCGTTCAAGATGGACAGGCAGACCGTACCGGATGGGTACACATTCGGGTGGAAAAGAGGAGGAACGAATTTGCCTATTTAGAAATGGTCAGTTGGTTTGCGCCTTGCCTTATGAAAACGGAAGGGTTTCGTACACTTTGGTGGTTTTGTAGGATACTCTGCAGGCTGTGTTAGTGATGACTCGAATCTTGAGGGACTTGGAATAGAGAGCTTACCATCGGGGAAGATGACGCTCATCTTGAATAACCCGCCCTCCCAGAGCGTCTTGTCTTTTCCTGGTATGCCGCACTCCCACACCTTCAAGTCGAGAACACCTTGCGCATTACGTTGGGGTTTCGCAAAGAATCCGAATGGATGGTCACGGCGCCATTGTTTACGCTCCTCCTGTAGCCGGTTCTGACAGAGCGCCATTTCGCCTTGTGAATTGGGTAGAGCTCGTGGTGTTGCTGTTGATGATGAGAGGGGTTCTGAGGTTGGAATGTTCGAGACCCGTAGACGGTAGGAGGTCTAAATCCTCTAGATTTGCTGCCTTCAATCACAAGTGAATGTGGAAGAGTAGCCTCCTGAAAGTGTTGGTTTGGCGTTTGACAACCCGAGATGAGGCTGAAGAGGCGAGGAAGGAAAGCAGCACAAGGTTTTGCAAGCATGCTGTGATTGGAGGATGGAAAAGCAGGGGGGGTTGTGGATTGCCTCGGCCTCTGCATATGCAACTTCTTGTTTTCCAGAAGATCTTTTGTAATGAATTACTTTTCAAATACATCTGCCATTTTATCTTTCTAGAACATCAACAAGGTTTTCATTCAATCCCAACTATTCATTCAATGTCCAGCAGTGAATCCTGAGAGCAAACCGTCCTGACTACAGTACCCCGCATCAGACCTGTTGCCGTAAGCTTTCAACTTGACAACAAATTCCTTTCACCAGCAATATAGAGCCCATACGACCCCATACACAACCATGGAGTCAAAACCAGAAGAATCCGAAGGGCTCACGGAGTCCCTTTCCAAAGCCAGTATCGCAGAAGAAACCCCAACAGCCAAGCCAGAAGAACCAGCAGGCCTCACACAAACAGCATCAACATCAGTGCCCGACCCAGAAGAAGATGATTTAGATGATTTAGACGGTACGTACCCATCTCCCTTTCTAATCGCCTATCCTAAATATCTACTAACAAAGCCCCTCAGACATGCTCGACGATTTCACGCCCTCAAAGCCAGACCCCGCGCCCCCCACGAAAGCCACAACCACCGCTCCGTCCATCCCCGCGCCCTCAGAAGAAATAGGCATCTCGGACGAAGACTTCGCCAAGCAACTGCAAGCAGGAATGGCCGAGCTACTGGGAGGACTTGAGAACTCCTCCGAAATGCCCGACATGGCAGCCCTAGAAAACATCATGAAAGAGCTAGGCGTAGGCGGGGCTTCTACATTAGAGGAAGCGGCAGAACCAAGCCCACCTAGTAGTAGCAGCGCTGTGGAAAAGGACAAGCAGAAGGATAAGGGCACGGATGAGACAGCAGCAGCAACAGCGACCGAGAAATCCTTCCAAGAAACGATAAAAGAAACCATGGCGCGCATGAAAGCCTCCGACACTCAATCCACAGCTGCCTCTGCTTCCGCCCCCGACAGCAGCGACGACCTCGTAGCAGAAATGCTGAAAGCCATGCAAGCGTCCGGGATGGAAGGCGAAGGTAGCGAAGAAGATTTCTCCAAGATGCTGCTGGGCATGATGGAGCAGCTAACGAACAAGGATATCCTGTACGAGCCGATGAAAGAGCTGGATGACAAGTTCCCGGCGTGGATGGAGCGGAACGAGGGCAAGGTGGACGAGGTGGATATGAAAAGGTATAGGGAGCAGAGGGGCTTTGTGAGAGAGATTGTGGGCAGGTTTGAGAGGACGGGTTATACGGATGAGAATGTTGCGGATAGGGAGTTTATTGTAGAGAGGATGCAGAAGGTTAGTTTGTTTGTTTTGCTTTCCCTTTCTGTTAGCCCTTGCTTTTGCTATTCTAATCTGAATGAAACATGCAACAAGCCATGATTTGGAATGCCCCTGACTGACTGATATTTCACAGATGCAAGCAGCGGGCTCGCCTCCGCCAGATCTAGTCGGGGATATGGAAGCCGCACAAGAAGCATTTGGAGCCCCCGAAGAAGGCTGTCCGCAGCAATAATCAAACGTGCAATTAATACCCATTTATTCTCTAATATCCTGACAATGTACAACGTGAAGATGATCATACCCTAACGCTATATCTTGGTATCCTTTTTGAATAAGCTAAATGATACATACTTTAGCCAGCCTAAACGCCTCGCTAAAAGAACAATAACAGAAGTTTCTACACCCGGAATATGTTTCCTAACTCATATCCATCATATCATGATCCTCCTGATGGCCCTGTCCCTGTTGCTGAACCTGCTGATCTGCATGTGCATGTTCCTGTCCCTGCATCTGTCCCTCCTGTTGCTTCTTCCCCTCCTGCGAAAGCATCTCCAAGAAAACCTCATCCCAGTCCTCCTCATCACTCCCAAACTCCCTCTCGCGCACCCAATCCCCAACCAGCGCCTCCACCTCCGCCTGCTCAGCCACAGCGACTTCTTCAGCCATAATCTCATCTACCACCACCATATCATATTAGTCTTCAAATTACCCTTTTAAAACAAACACAACATACCTAAACTCTCCTCTTCCTCCACATCCACATCACCAAACCCACTCCCATCAGCGAGCACCCTCTCCCGAACCCTCCTCTCCCTCTCCTCCCTCTCCCACAACACCCGCATAACTTCCTCATCTCCCCCCCTAGCCGTCCATCTCTTCTCCTCCGCTGCGCCCCTGACCTTCTGCAAAAACAGCTTCCGCCGCGTCTCAGCTTTCTCGCCTATGCTTTTCCCGGCCGCGTGTAACAGGGGATTGGGTTTCGCGATGCGTTTGCTGAATACGCTTTCTTTGCCGCGCGAGGGAGGGGGGGATGGCAGGCTGGAGCTGCGGGTTCGTGGGTGGGAGAAGGGGCTTGGTTGTGGTTTTGATGGCGAGGGGGTGGGGGAGCTCATTCTCGCATCATTGTCGTTATTGTAATTGTTATTATTGGATTTCCAGGTATTAGGCATGGGCTTTGAACTCGCGTTCATGTCGCGGTTTTGCAGCGGGGAAGGTGTTGAGCTGGGACGGAGTGGTGAGGATGAGAGGGGTGAGGGGACGTGTGGCGTATAGGCTGAGGAGAAGTCGAAGTTGTATGTGTGTGCCGGTAATGGTGTAGGGGCCATTGTGTACATGTTTTTGGAGTGGTAGTGTTGGGATGTTGGGCTTGTTTGATGGATCGAAGGGAAGTTGGGGCTCGCGTAGGAAGAAAGAAGAGACGCGGACGACCTGAGAGACGCGCTTGTGGACGCGATCGTGATGTGATTTCTGGCTCGCGTAGAGTGACCTCACTTTGCAGTGAGATCTGCAGCAAAACTCAAGAACACTACAGCAGAACAATAATTAAATTCGGAATGTATCGTTATATTTCAATGTTTCGATGTTATTGCAAGCAATAATTAATCTGCAGCAACTTCACTAACCGTAATAGTTTTCGGTGATGGACCTAAATCGTCTACGCAGCAGGCAGGGCGAGCTTTAAAACTCCATCCCCTTATTACCTGATTACTATCCCCTGTTACCATTTCTGGCCTCGTTGGTATCGTACAGCCAAAAGCTATGCCAAATATTTGCAACCAAAATATCAAATGTCCGCAACGCCCCTATGCCTTGTGGCTGCCAAACGCCCTTACGCAAAGCTCCCCGGCTTAGTCCTCGGTCTCCGATTCAGCTGCCACTCGAAGCTCGTAGTTGAGATCAAAACATTCTGACAAGAGGTCGATAACGCTCCCTTGTCCTTCTGGAATATCGTTTCCCACCATGAACTTCCCGTCTACTCTCATGTTGTCCAGGGAATTCAATTTCATGCTATAAGGGTATAGTTCTCTCGGCGAGCTGACACCTCCAGAGTTCTTGACCTCAATGAGACATCTCTTCAAGGTTTGGAGTTGGTTGTAGACTGGTAACAAGGCTTCTGAGACTGGCTCCGAGGACACCATTAGGTAGTAGATGTAACCGTAACACCTTCGGATCAAGTAAAGCAATGTCTAGAGAGTCAGCATGGTCTCATATTAGATTGTCTGAATACATACTCTCTGAACATAAAGCTCGGCAAAGTTTCCCTCGGCGTCAACGAAATTGCCATCAATTCGACTTTCATCAATTCTATCCAACTGTCTTTGGTAATCATATAGATCCGTCTCCCGTAAAGACCAGGCTTGCGTCAACGACAATTTCTCTAGCTTGTTCCTGATATCCACTAAAGTTTGGTATTTTGCACTAAATCCTTCCGGCATTTCTCCTTTTCTATTTCAGTCAGTGTGATTTCATAAACGATATTTATGACAAAGGACTGACCGGGTCAATACAATGTCTGACCAAAGCAAGCATTTTTCCAATAGGTTGACAACGTCTTCAGTTCCAGCAGGGACCTCTCCACTAGCTGCTACAAATTTGCCGTCAACTCTTAGTGAATCGATTTCCTTCACTTGGGCTTGTAGATGTTGGACTTCTTTTGTTGAGAACTATCCACAGAGTCAGCCAAAGTCTCGCACACCATGTAGGAAACCCACCTTTGCTTTTGTGTTGGCGAGAGAGATAGACCGTAGAATTGTGATAAGCTTCTCGAATATGTTTGGCAACTCCCCACCAAGCCTAGCCAGCCGAGCTTGAAGATTCGTTAAAAGCGCTTGGCATGCCTCGATTCGGTTTGATAAGAGAATGATCAACTTGGGGGAATAGCTTCCACTGGCTTGCTTCACGATTTCCCGCAGCCTGTTGAGTGTATGCGATAAATGTGACAGGTCCTTCTCGGAATATAAATCCACCTCGGTCAAATGGTCCAGCAAACGCTTGATGGTAGATGTCAACGCGTATGCGGCTGGGGCTTCGTTGTTCCTGCCAATAGTCATGAAGAAGAGGGATAATAATTGAAAGCAGCCATCCAAAACTCGGTCGACTGGATAAGACTAGTGGTTAGCAATTGTAGGACATGAAGCTGGTGGTGGCGGGCGGACCTTGACTTTGTTGCGGCTCGGGTTTGTCGGCTCGCAGTTCAGTCAGCAAGCGGACCTGATCAACTACTCTTTCATACAGAGGCATAACATCTGAGGACTTGACATATGTGGTGCGGTCTTGCTTTAGAAGGGTCAATTCATCTCGTATGCGCTGCAAGCTGTCCAAGATGGGTTGCTCGCGTGCATCCAGTAGAGGGACATTGGGCGTATCGGTCATGGTGAGGGGTGTATGCTGTGGGGTGTTCTGTCATGTACCTAGGTAGGTAGGTAGGTAGGTAGGCAGTTTGTAGTTTGTGTACTGAGAGTTGTGAATATCTGCAAGTTGGGTTATGATATCCAAGGGTTTTGCAGTAATAGGTAGCATGCGAAAGACAGAACAAGGCAAAGCAAAGTAGCGGGGGAAGCTCGAAAAGAGGGGCCAGGCCGCCTTATCTGATTTTGGCCTGGCACTGCACTAGACTGGCCCTTGCTTTCGCTTGCTCAACCAACCATATCCCCCGAACTTTCCCCAGCGCACATATGATTTTAGGCCAAACCAACTTTTCTTTCGACATCAACTTCACGACGAACGATCGATCGCATCTCAAGAATCTTCCACTACCCACGAACTCGATAGGTTCAGTCTCCGCCCAACTGCGGTTAAATTGATTGATCTTCCTGTTCATCCCAAACAATCCCCTATAAACCCATCAAAATGTCGACCGCCGAACTCGCTGTCTCCTACGCTGCTCTGATCCTCGCCGATGATGGCGTCGATGTCACCGTACGATTCCTACTTCCTGAAGACCCGGCGCATCTGGCGCATGTAATGGCATATATAATGGGCAAGTTGCTAACGATATACAGGCCGACAAGCTCCAAACCTTGATCAAGGCTGCTGGTGTCGAGGATGTTGAGCCCATCTGGACCTCCCTCTTCGCAAAGGTACGGAAATCACATTAGAAGGGGACACGAGGAATACGTGCTGATATCTGGAACACAGGCTCTTGAGGGCAAGGACGTCAAGGAACTTCTCTTGAACGTTGGCTCTGGAGGTGGTGCCGCTGCTGCCCCAGCTGCTGGAGGTGCTGCCGGTGGCGAGGCTGCCGCTGAGGAGGCTAAGCCAGAGGAGAAGGAAGAGGGTAAGAAATGCATATCTATTTATACGGAACAACATGCTAACACCATCAATAGCCAAAGAGGAGTCCGACGAGGATATGGGTTTCGGTCTTTTCGACTAAACGCCTGAAAACATTTCCTGTCCGAACTTACAAATGCATGGCATGGGTCTTTACGGTGCGGAATCTGGCTGGTCGAGTAGCTATTCATAGATAGGCAAGCTCACGACGATTTTTGCAACTCGATTTTCATATGGGAAGTTTTAAATGTGTGACATTGAGAAGTGGGCTTCATACTTCGAACGCCAGTGCATGTTTATGCTTACAACTGTGATATTGCAATTGGGGCCGTTTATCATTTATTCGCAGAAGGCCGATGAAGTGACGACCATTCGAGATATCCATCCATCATCTATTTATCGAGCGTCTCCTTCCCAACACATCTTGCTTGCTGATTGTGGAGTGACGCCCACCCCCTAGAAGTAAAGGGATACGTCCATTCACCCGCAAACTCTACTCTAACCCGTCAAATTCGCTGCCTGACTCAACCACTACGAGCTTCCCTCTCATCTCATCAATCAACACCCGTAATGCCAACCATGCAAGTACTTCTGTGTATCTTGCCATGCTACATTTCAAGCTACCTACATAGAAGGAAAAGATCTTAGCTTCGAGGGCACTCGATACCATTTCATGACTCTGGCTCGAGTGTAGTAATACTTGCTTACTTTGTCATCAAGCGCTTTCATTCAAACTATACTATAATTGCTATATATGACATTAGTAGAAACAACTTACCTATACTTCCAAGCAACGAGTGCAGTATAGTGAATGCATCGTCATGTCTGAGAAAACACCCACCATTGCCTCATGATCACCCACTATATTATATCTTCCCAATGCATTCTCCGTTTGTCCCACCGGCCGTCTTGAACTCTCACACCTAGCTACACGTACAGTAACTACAATAAGATCCCAACTCTTCAAAAAATGACTCTGAGTCGTATACAGTTGACGAGATTTGCTTCTTCACAACTTGAAATCAATAACTCTGTATAGCTTGGGCCCCTGGGACATCTTCAATAACTTGGATTTTACTGTAGCTGATAGTAATCAAATCCCTCACAGCAGATAGTTTTCGATATAAACAGCATGTGGGATTCACAGCAAACTCGACTTTGTGTTGATTATGAACGAACCTAGTTTTTCCCTGCGGAAATTGGACTACAGTCTGCTGTGCTCCTCAAGAGGTGGCTTTTGCATTGTTGTATATATTGATATGTAAACTTCCCCTGTGAAATGAATTTGACATAATTGCGTTTTACTCCTAGCCTGGCAGGGGAAAGGGGCACAAGCAGGTGATCAAATTGAGTATCATGATTTCCTTCCTCTACGTGGATTTTGAATTGTGCGGAATTGTTTAATCTGAATTAGTTATTTCCATAGTGGTGGGTGGCTATCATTCCTACTGTATAGTGTTTTACGGCCTTCCCAGGCCCACAAGAGGACTGTCAATTATAACCCTTAGACTCTATATCGTGCGTCTCTATCTATACTGGACATAAGGGGCGACAATTAACTTATTTTCATCGACTCTCAATGTCTCCACCACCTGGCACATTATAAAGTGTGTTCTTTTCTTCTGTCGGTATCTGCAACAACCTCGGCCCTCTCCCCCATCGCCTCCAACCTCCTCTCAATCTTCCTATACGCCCAATCCATCGACGGATACAGGAACTGCCGCATATCATACCGGTTATCATCAACTCCGTAGTTAACCGCATGCACGCTCGGTGTAAGGGTGGTCAGCTTGTGTCTGTTGATGCCGTAGTTGTAGAAGAAGAAGCGGACTTTGGTATAAATATCTTTTGGGGAGAGCTTGTCGGACCCTGAAAGACGCGAGGTTAGTGACGGATATAAATTTGGACTAAGGGGAGGATACATTGGTGGAGGAGTTTGGACCACATGCCCCAGGGACCGAGGCGTTCGACTCGGCGTAGGGTGCCGTAGGTGGAGAGCTCGGCGTAGGTTACGCCCATGTCAGTTTCTGTCGCAAGGTGGGTCAGTTTTATCTTTCGGAGAAGCCTGCGGATTGGATTACCGTCATCTTGGACGTATTCTTCGGTAATGGGTAACAACTCTGCGGTCGGTGGTGCGGAGACAAAAGACTTGAGCAGAGGCATGTCGAATGAACCATCAGCCCATAAAATGAACCGCTTCAAGCTGCAGACGAAGTAATGTCAGCCAATTCGTGTAGAGGAACTCAGAAATCAAGACCGATGAACAAGCTCTTGGGGTAAACTTACTCAATCTTAGATATTCCACCAATTGGATTAATGTCCGCTGAACTACAATCGTACTCTCCTTGATGTCAGTTCCAATAAATAGCAAATGCTCAGTTAACCTACTAGTCAGATATCCCCTACATAGCTGTTAGCAAAAGCTGGCAAAAGCAAGGAATGGTTGTACCGGAGTGATTCGTCAACATTGGCAGACCCCAACACAAGTAGTGAGCCAGGATTTGAATTCTCGGGGTTCTTTGCATTGCGTTGTCGAACAGTTGGGAGGAGTTGACTAAATAGTACGTAAGCATTGAGCTCACTGGCATAATGAGGAGAAAGGGCTTGATCAGATATTCTCTTCCAATCAAAGATCTCTACGGGGCTATACTTACGCCAGAAGATATGCCATGACCATGCGTAAACGTGCCTAAATTATATCAGTATTGAGGGGATAGCAAGTAAGTAAGGTATGTATATACCTGGATGTTTTGCCTGTGGTTGAAGAGTAAGCATCAACAATTTACATAGCCAACGACTATCAATGACGAGGTTTACTTACAATGCTAAGTTGGTCTGTCCATGATTTGAAAATTAGCATTTTCAAATATCAGGCAGTGAGAAAGCAGCATTGATATGCATTAGAAAAAAGCAATTTGGGTTTGCCAGGCCAGAAATTGAGCGCTTACCGCTGGAGTGCCACCATACATGGAGTATTTTGGCACAAATGTCGTGACAGTGGTGAACAGCGTCACTAAAGCGTGATAGACAGTATCAATGTCCTTGTTGGCAGTCAGGATATTGCATCAAGCAAGGTCTGGGGCACCCCTAAACTCACTAAATCGATATGGTAAGAACCGATAGCAGCGGCCAAATCTGCTGCACGCTTCCGTGTATCCGGACTCGAGTTCTCTTTCATTCCCATATACCTAATGTTCGTCAGCATAATTAGGACTGCTGCGGGGTAGCTCATACGTAGTATGGAACATGCGAGTCGCAATATCTTGCGGGCACGTTGGGCGCCATGTACTTGTCGACGGTTCACCACATACTCTGAGCATATCGGAGATGGCTTGAGGATCCTTATCTTCGGTAACAGCTTGGAAGACGAGTCGTGTCATTTGGTGGACAATTACGGCTGTGGCACAGCTGTCGACGCCTCCAGAGAGGGGTAGGAAGAACTGAACATTTTAGTATATTAATTCTGGTTTGGATAAATATGAGCTTACACCTGCTTGACGTGATCGCCGCAAGAAATCCCACATCCTTTTCGAAAAGTTAGTATTTTTTTTTTTCCCTGGAAGAGCTGCGTGGAACAATGATATCTTTAATATGACTCCCGAAAAGACATCCTTGCAGGTAGGAAACTTGAAGATCCGAGTGGACTTACCAACAGGCTATATTTGTTAGCTTATGTTCCTAAAAGTACGATTTGGAGAACTTACCAGGACCAAGACTAATCTCTTCTTCTGGTAGGTGATATTTCACCTCAATTTCTTGGGTGGGCGCGATGGATGGATCCACGTCTTCAGCGTCATCAGATAAAGAAATATCCGCTTCGATACTATATCTCTAGGTCAGCATTGCTTCCATATCTCCTCTGAACCCTAACGCGAACTTACCGCTCAAACGAAGGTTGATTGATGGCCTGCATGTTACGAGATTTGAAGTTCCTATACGTCCTCACTTCCTCCAAGTCCACAGTGGCAGTGACAACCTAGTCAGAGATCAGTTCAGAAAAAAGCCTGCATCGCTCACCGATGTTTTCTTACCTCGACCTGGTGAAGTGAGAATTGACTTCCTTGTGCAACAATCTTTCCATTGACGACGATCATCGCGCAGCCATCACTAAATCGCGAAATTAGCACATTTCACTAGTGAGATTCATGGGCTAAGATCAGTGGAGAAGGGATAATAATTTCGAAAGACATAAAAAGAGGGTACGAACTAGTACATCCGCTCTCCATCGCAGCCTTGCTGATTGGCATACAAGTAGATACCACCAGCTTTAGTTGTTGCGCCACGAATGAGCTCAACGCGAGTATGTAACTTTCGTAACTAGAAGAAGGCATTAGGAAATTGGTGTTTGTCGGGACGTGGAGACGAACCTCCCAATGAGAACCAGAGGAATTACTCAGAATCTCGACACCATCAAGACCATAGTTAATTCCAGGACTGAAAAGTTAGCACAAGATTAAGAATGGGAGTATTGGAGGCGTACTTGTGTGGAGTCCAGAGCTCTTCACAGGTTTCAGTACCTAGACACGTATCGCGGGTACTGATAACTGCGTCCCCGATTCGGCACTTCCTCTGTCCATGCAGCTTCTCAATCATTCGCGGAAGATAGAAATCCTCGACAATTCTTGAACCTGCCGGATTCAGTCAGTAAGAGGGGGGTTCAGAAATTGTCTGCGAGAATTATCACCTTTCCATGGTACGAAGCTGCCAGTCATCGCATTAGCATGTGTTTTATATTCACTTCTCGCAAGGGAGCTCTTACTATCTAGCTTCGTAGTAATTGCTGTCATTAGCGAGAGACATCTTGGGTCTGATGAGCAAGATCCGACCATTATAGACAATGCAACGGCAATTGTAGACAACATCACGGTGGCGGACTGGGAGACCGATATCAAGCAGAATATCTTGGCAATCTGGGTGGACAATGATCTCGGCCAAGGATTCCCAGGTATGCAACAAGGTGTCTGACTCGAGGAAGTGATCAAGGCCTAAGTGGTAGAAATGTCAGAATGGAAAAAGTGCTTCAAAGAATGTAGCCTCACATCCATAACCCGTGATCTCTAATTCAGGTCCAACTCTCAAGGAAGCACCTTTCGCCTTGGCCTGACGAATAGACTCAATGATATTCTTTTGGTTACCAATGAAATCCATTGCCCATTGATTGAGCGAACTATAAAAGTTAGCAGCAGACCCCGCCAAATACGATATGAAAATGACTGAGAAATGGAGAGTGGAGACGTTTTATCTAATACAGCTGGGGTCTTTGAGAGGATGAATGTCTGCAGCATACCAGGTCGCAAGGGTGGTCAAGTGCCCCATGATGAAATTGAAATCTGTGGTTCTTTCAGAACTATGAAAGTTAGTAAAGTTATTATCAGGTACAGGCAGTTGTATATGATTCACTTTTGAAGAATTGGTCTCGTTGTAATTATGTGTGTGGGTGTACAGAGAAGAGTTGTTGGAAGTCAAACGAAGATGCGATGCATCGGGAAATTATTAAGCGGGTGAGGAGTGGAGTCAAAGGTTAGTTGCGTTGCTCGGGCCACATTAGGACAAATCATGTGATCTCAGAATGCAATTTTAATTCCGAGTTTTGGGTCCTATTGTCTTGATATTTTTACATACAAGTATATTGGATATCCTATACGTAGGAGGTGAACGCCCCTACATAGCCTGAAACCAGCCAAGTAATATAGGATTTTTTATAAAATCCCAACGGAAGAATGGTACGAGTACTACGACGCCGTGCCTTTGTCCTTGCATTTTCTCTTTTCTGTTGCAACGAAAAGGATTTCAAACCCAGGATTATTCATATCATATAGCTAGCACAGGTAGATTTGCCGGGGTTTCAAGATTCGAGAAAGAAGATAATTTTGTAAAATCTCATAAGAGGTAGAAGTAGCTTATGGAATAGCAATTATGCCCACAGACTTGGAACGTGCTGTCAATTTTGAATTGCTGTCAAGGAGTTGCGATGAAGAGGTCTAGCAAGACTTCCAGCTCGAAGCACCCGTCGTATTACTCAGACACAACTTGCGGCTCGCGACGCGATGCACCAGTGACTCAAATGAAGTGGACCCGCTTGGAGGGATTGAATGTTTAGCAGCTGATGGCTTTGTATCTTCTGCAAACTTGTATATATATGTAAAATAGTATCTATATTAGAGGGGAAATTGAGGAAAGAGCAAGTTGACAAGTAGCAGGAAGGCGAAAGGATGCTGTCTTTTTAAACCCAAGCACCTGCTAGGAATTTGTTAGGTAGTGGACTTCCTTTTCGTATAGGTATCCCTGGACATCAAGGCAGCCAAACACCGAAACATCAATTCAGCTTGCGGCAAAGCAGAAAATGAAGCATATTGAAATGAAATCATGACTCGAAAATATCAACCCCCCAATGCATCAGACAGCATGTAAAAGCCATTGGTATCACGTGATGACTCTTGAGACAATTTGTGCTCCGAAACATTCCAACTCGCAGCACTCACTTGGAGAGACAAACAGAAACAAGATGCTTCTCCCAATACTCTGTAATATGAATAACCAAAAATCTCAAAGACACAGGTCACACCGCTTCTCAATCATCCCCCTCATCTCCCATGGCAACGAAAATGAGGACGGCGCTTGGGCCAAACCTGGTGGGGTTTGGTGCCCGTTCCCGTTCTATCTGTGCCATGCCATGTACCGTAAATAAAACTCGAGTACCGTATCAAACAAATTAGACGCTTCTGATTCGAGTCTTGGTGCAACTGCAACGAAAGTCTGGATGGATGCCCTCGTTTGTTACGTGATGACAGGTTTCGCATTTTAAATATGCAGATGCAAATCAGGTGCAGGTTGCAGGAGTGCACTGTACGAAGTACTCCGTCCGTACAGGAAAGCTGAGAGCTGCATCGAGCCGCAGTAGAGGACAGACTTTGACCAGGTTATTGGCTGAAGAGCTTCATCAAGTGGCGAATAACTATCACGGACACTGCCACATGTGTTCGTCGGAATAGGTAGGGTAGGGTAAGAAGAGGGAATTGTAAATAGCGGCACTTGTTATAAAACTTTTTAATGTGCAACTTGTTGTGGAAATCAAGAATCGGTGCCCAATATAGGTGTAGCTATTTCGTAGCTTCGTAATGTAACACATATTCATCCGTTTGCATGAATATAAAAAAAGTTGCTCTAAATACTTCACGTACGATTTAGGTGGGCGGCCCGCTTATAGGCAAATGCGCTAAACTTGACTGCGGGATAATCTACCTGATTCTGATTTGCTGCTCTTTTGCAAAGTAAACAATATGCGCTGGCACACCTCGTCCTTGCCCACCAGAACCAACCTCCATAATAAAACTGAAGCTTATCAGAGCTGTTATTATTGACATTCAACTCAACGTGCGACCGACATCCGTATCGATTCCGATTTCGAACCAGCCCAATCCCAGCAGTTTGGTCGCTACATGCTTATTCTTGTCTTCCGTTTTTAATTCTTTTTGCGCTGCGCTGCTGCTGCTGCTCCCCCTCCCCTGCAGGCTCGGCGAATCCCAGTACCTATCTTTCCTTCCTTCGGTGTCTTGTCTCGCTTTGTCCTGCCCTCGAATCCCACCAGCCTCCCCTCTTGTACAATACGGTACGGCCACAGCAACGGACACGAGCCGGCATATCATCCCTGATGCATCTTTAAACGCAGTCCCCTTCACTCTCGAATTGTCACAATGGGTATCGAGGGACGCAAAGCTCCCCCATTGCCTGCCCCCACCGAGACTGATACCACCACCGGAACAAGTGACTTTGGTTCTCGAGTTACCACAAACACAGTAAAGAGCGACTTCACTCTACCAGAGGACGGTAGTCCCATCACAGTATCTACACGGCGCAAGAAGGGTTCTAAAGACGGCCCAGGCCACCTCTCCACGAAGTCGCAGACATCACTACTCATCGAATATTTCGAGGGTGGGAAGGACGGCAAAAGCGAGTCTCGACGTCCATCTGTAAGAGTAAAGGTTACGCCATCCAAAGGCAAAGGCCGATCAGCAAACGACCACATACAAATCACCGAGCAGAAAGGCTCTCGAAAGCCGTCGTATACTCAACGAATCCCGCTCACCCCCGCGAAAAGCGATAGACATCTGGATGGAGAAGGCGATGATAACAGCACGAATTCGTACCGATCAGCCACCGAGGAATCTAACGTCACATCTCGAGGAGGAGGTCCAATTGAGGTGGAAATTATGTCTAGAAGACATGGAAGCCCTCTGATACCTACCGGCGAGAGCAGTACCTCGAAATATGTCCAGCATAATGCTTCTGATATCTCCTCGATGCCTACAGATAGTTTTCTGGATGGCCCGACACGGTCGCCCGAACGTAAGGGTAGTCGCAGTTTATCACGAGGAGAAGCCTTGGCTGCTGGCGCTGCCACAGGCTTAGTGGCAGGCGCAGTGGCAGACAAATTAAAGACACCTACGCGCCGAAGGAGTCGAAGTCTCAGCCGGGAACGAATAGTGGCTCAAAAAGCAGTGGAGAAGGTTCGGGGCGAGAAGTCAGAACGCCGGCGCAAGCATAGGAGCAGGAGTCGGAGTGTGAGCGGTGAACATTTAGAAACTGTCAAGTCACCGGAACGTCGACGGCGATCAAGTCGAAGCCATCATGAGGATTCTATGCTTACTGGTGGAACTGGTGGAGAATCGAGTCTCCTAAGTTCTCACCTCAGCGGCAAATCAGGCGATGCATATTCATTCAGGTCTGGTACCTCGAAGTCATCGATCAATAACCCGAAACTCCTCGAGACGGTCGAGGATGCAATTCGGAGATTGATTTTACCTGAATTGACGGCTTTGAAAAGAGAGCAGAGCAAGCACACATCCCGTGATAGAAGCCGCAGAGGATCCATCACATCTGGAAGCGGGGTCTCGAGAGAATCAAGGGAGGACAGCTCTAATTCGAGACGAGTGTCAGGAAGCGGCACGGATGTCTCGAACAAGCCGAAAGTAACTCTTAATGATACAGAAGTCCTTTCTGGAGACTCTGTCAAAGGGCGCAAGGACAGGACTCTGGATCGCGTCAGGAAGGAAGATTCTCCGAGAAGCTTTGAGCGCGGCTCTTCGGAAGAGACTGCTATTCAAGATGGAGACCAGGTGCGTAAGAAGCGAAGTAGTGATCGGAACCGTGGAATCGAAGCTGCGGCTCTGGGGGCTGGAATTGGTTTGACTGCCGCAGCGCTTCACAAGCATCAATCTCAAGATTCACTGGAAGAGAAGAAGGAGCGTAGACGACGGAGGACTAAGAGTCGTAGTCGAAGCGAAATCTTGGCCGAGAGTTATGAGGAACGGGAGGAAGTCGTGCCACCAATGCCCCTTTCCAGTGAAATTAATCCTTCAGAGATTACACGGAGCTCTATTCTCTCAGCAGCAACAGAAAGACCTCATTCCGCAAGCGAGGAGCACCTGAAGACCCCAATTCGAGAAGTACCTCGAGGTTTTGTATCGCCAAAGTCACCATCTCGAACACCTACACGGACACCTGTTGCTCTTCAGCAAGGTCTAGGAACTCAGCATTCAAACTTCTCACGTGGAAACTTGAGCCTTCATAGCCAAAACAGCGAGCAGCAGTTGCGTGGTCAGGAATACGAGTTGGATGAGCACGGCCGAAAAATCCCCATGTATGAGCATGAAGACGAGCATGTGGAGCATGAATCTCACGGGGAATCTCGCGCATTGGCGGCTGGATTAGCTGGCGCAGCAGCAGGGGCTGGTCTGGCAGCAATGCATCACCGAGACGATGATCATGAAGACTCGGAGCTCATGGAGGACGAAGATCATTATGGCTATCTCCAAAACACACAGGAAGTGCCTCCGCCTTTGCGTTATGTTCCCTACGGCCATGAAAGACGAGGCTTGAGTCCAATTCAAAGTGTCTCTGGCTACACTGAAGGTGACCCCGAACCTCAACGGGATTCAAAATTCACTCAAAGCACGGCTTCATACTCCTCGTTGAACAAATCTACCCCTCACAAGTCTTCTGGAAGATCAACCAAATCATATGACTCTTTAGGCAATCAAAATCATCATGACTTCCCCGAAGTTCGACAAGGAGGCCTCACTGATTCCGAGCTCACCCAAGATGGAGATTACTGGGAAGAGCAACATCAAGAGAACGACCGAAATCGCCATCTTGATTCAGATAGCTATCGCAGCTCTGACCCGCGTATTGACTACAAACATATGACCAACTACACCGATGACAGTATGGATATGGACCGACTTTCGGCAGGCCAGAATGTTCGGGGCATTGCGCAAAATGCCGAGTACGTGCATACCCCAGTTGGAGTCGAATCAGCAGTTGCTTCTCTTGTGAATGCCTCAGATCTCACCGGTGTATCTGCATCTAGATACTCTGGAAACAACAACGAGCAGTATGATCGGAGAGGATCTTATGCATCTTACGACGACGGCTCCGAGAAACAGTTCACCAGCCGTGGAAATAGTCCAACGAAGCGGGATATGGGCTCCGATCGAGGTACTTCAAGTCAACGGAACAGCCCATCAAAATATACAGAAGAGTATGAACTCGATGAGCACGGACGTAAAGTTGCGATGCCCAAATACGGCAGTTCTCATACTGCCGAGAAGGCTGGGTTAGCTGGCATCGCAGCTGGGGCCGCAGCTGCTGTTCTCAGAAATCGCAAAGAACAACAGACTGAGGCAGATCAAATCAGTTACGAAGATCGACAGGAACATACTGGTGCACCTTTGAACAAATCGTTCAAGGAGCGTGCCATGGAAGGACAAGGGCAGATGCCATCTCCACGTCATAGCATCGATGCAGCAATGAGTGAAGCAGCCAGTCATGCTAGTCATGAGATACAAATGGGAGCGAGTGGCCTTCCAGATATGAATTCTCCAATGCCGGAAATTGGTTACGGAGATGACGCTTCAGACGTCGATACTAACCCATCAATAATCAAGGGGCCGATTGGAGGCTCACAGGAGGGAGCCAGAGATCATTGGCCAGGTCATGCAACCCCGCCTCCGAAAATTGGTACCCCGGTAAGAAATCGAGGTAGAAAGTCCGATGCAAACCTGAAGGCTGCGGAAGCTGCTCTTGTTGGGTCAGCAGCCGTAGCTGGAGGTGCCGCTGCTCTCCAAGGCCACAGTAGAGAAAACAGCCATGATCATGAAGAAGAATGGGCCAGAACTTCTGGGGACCGGAAGAGAGACACCCTCATCACAAATCCGTACGAAGGCACAAGCCCAATTGCTGCCCTTGGAGTTGACCCCAATCTCTTGCCGCATTCTGGCTACGGTGCAAATCAGGATTATGGTCATCCAAAGATGGGTTACCCAACTGGAAGTCCAGGTGCATTGAAAGATGAAGGATACATCTCATCTGCACCAAATGCACGTTCTGCCGGTGCCATTACTCCTGAGCAACGCTTGAAGGGAGTTGGTTTCCTTGATGAAGAGATTGGAGGCGCAGCGGATGCTTTGGCTGGGGGCGATCCTTTTTATACCCCAAAGCATACGCGGCATCTCAGCGGCATGTCCCATGGTATGGGCTCGCCTATTTATGACAGTTCTACAGGAAATGGCATCGATCGAATTCAGTCAAAGGATATCGTTGCTCTTATGGACCATGTAAGATCATATTCTTTCTTCTCTAACATATTAAGACTAACGAGTTCAGCTTACCGTCCGTGACGCTCAACGAAGCGCCCGTGATACCGAGATTCTCGTGACTCTTGTCCGAGCTGCTGCTGAAATGCGAAATTCGTTCGAGGATGTGAAACGTTTACTAGCAAGTGCAGAAGATCAGATTATCAATGAAACTGAAGACAATACCGAGAGAATCGTTCAAAAGGCGATCAACGGTCCCAGACCTTTGCCCCAAAGTGCCAACCGTTCGATACGACAAGGTTCTCAGGACGACCCGTACGATGACATTCCCACAAAGAAGCAGAACGTATTCAAAAGAGCGCTAAAGGGATTGGGCATGAAAAGTGCCAATGATCTTGGTAGGATTGAAGATATGCTAGTCCAACTACTAGGAGAGGTAGAAGGATTAAAAGCTGCCCAGGGTCTTAAAGAAATGAATCCCGGAGAGTCATTCAGCGACTTGCATCAAGAAGGCAACTATGAGAATGATCGTGGTTATGAACCAGAGGGCAATGCCGGGACGTCTACTGCAAGCCATGCTAGCCAATCTGGCCATCTTTCTCTTCCGTTGTCACGGGGACCAAGTGTGGCCAGGGGGGCTGACGCGCGAAAATTCTCGGATCATCGTATCAGTACTGTACCTGAAGGTGATGAGGAAGAACTCGAACATCACGAGCAGACAATCCTTGATAATCAGTTCGAGAACAATGAGCAGCTGCTGACGCCTACCCGGGAGTTCACCCGTGGAGGGTCTGCTCCTCTTGGAACGCCGCCTCAACAGAATATTGCGCCTGCCTCTCTTAGCAACGAGAACACGCCGAGAACTGAGAAGAGCAAGAAGCACAAGTCAAGTAGCTCTTCTGGTTGGATTCCAAAGATCTCTCGTTGGTCTGAAACAACAGCCTCGACTGTCCTTCGTGGATTCAGAAGCAGCGGACAAAGCAGTGGCAGGAAAGGCGACGATCAGTTCGCAGAACCTCCTTCGCGATCTGGCTCCGATCTTGGTAACTATACCGAACACGACCCTTACGGCGAAGACAAGCTCCACTCAGGCTTTTCCCAGGACCAACTCGAACAATACAACTCCAACGAGAACTCCCCGCCCATGCCATCCCTACTGCCCCCAGAAGACCCCAAATACAAAGCCCACCGCAACTCCCTGAACCTCCAGCACCCGCAACCCCGCCCTGGCCCAACACATCGCTACCAAACGGCCCTCGAGTCCCAAGCCCACGATTTCGACTCCCCCGTGTCCCCAAAATCCCTCGACTGGGGCTCAAACACATCTCTCAACCGCCTCCCGCAGCAGTCCAACCGGTATAGCAATGGCACGAATAATACCGGTCGCATGTCTCCCATTTCCGACGGTCGGTATTCAAACCCTAGTCAAGCGACATCGAATCAAGCCCCTGCTCCTGCTCGTCCACCAAAGGAACCCCTGACATCAGCACCAGACATACCAGCTAAAATCCGGACAGGGAAGCTGCAAAAACCCAGTCCGCTCAGTAACGAGCATTTGCAGGTAGATGACTATGAGCCAGGTGGAAGTCCAAGGTCAGCGGCGAGGAAATTGTCGGGTCAGCTGGGTGGTGTTCCGGCGCGAAAGCCGACTGGGCCAAGGAGTATGAGTAGTGCTTCGAAGAGTGGTGATTTGGGGAGAGATGATACTGTTGTGATTAGGAGGAATAAGAATAGAGGTATGTTTTTACCCTTTCATTTGGCGTTGGGATGGGATAGGAGCTAACAAAAAAACAGATACATTCGGCACAATCGCCAGTAATCAAAGCGAGGAGTCTGAAACTTTTTAAGTCGAGCGCGTGGGCACAGGGAATGGAGTTTCATGATAATATGTACCTTTTGAAAATGCTTTCTCGCTAGCTTGCTTGCTTGCCTGCTACTGGTTAGCATCACATCACACCAACACCACCCTTGGGAGGAAAGGAATCTTTCTTGTTTCTATTGCAAAAGCTAGACATATCGAACGACGACAGTTGGGATCGCAAGTGGGCGGATTTATGGGGCTGGAGGGGATGGGTGGGGAGGGAATGGGTACTTTAGGGGAGGATTATTTCACGACGTCTATGATTCTTTACGACAAATTTTCTTTTTGTAGGTATCTATGTCTGAGTTATCAAAAGCCTAGCTTGATTCAGCGAGCGAGCTTGCATATTGCAATCCTTTTTTTTTCGGCGTCATTAATTGATAGATAAAATGCTCATGCATATATTCTTTAATGGATCATTATTTCCTCCCTATCTTTCGCTAGCCGGCTGGCTGGCTGGCTACTTTTTTGGAGTTTGTGACTGGATATTTGTGACTATTGAGACCGAGCAGTTTAATCGAACGACGATATATGTAAGTCGGGAGACTATGGATGGATATATAGGGAGCTTGAACAGAAATAAAATGATATGAAATAAGTAGTATTAACAGTCGGACACTCTACATTCATATAAAACAAACAGCACTTATAAACACACTGTGTAATCACATTCAATTTCTCATTCTCGTTTCTCATTCTCAATCTCCAGCAATGTGTAATTGCTGGCTTGCTTGCTTACTCGCTCACTCAAGTCCCAGTCCAAAACTAAGTCCAAGAAAGACTCACTCACTGCTCACTCATCTAAATACAATATCAGTTCCCTTCCCTTCCCCTCTCCCAAAACAAAACAAAAATGCCCAACCAAACCCAAAACACCCACCCGGTTTTCCCAATGCACCCTAGGATAAAAAGCAAAAGGGGACAAGCAAGGGAGAAGAAAATTGATATGCCAATCTTCTATACAAGTGCGTGAGTTCCATGGGCGGAATGGGTATCTAACTAAACTAAAGTAATCAAAAGAAACCAAGAGCAAATTATGCAAGACCGGTGTGAGATAATGCTGGTGACAAAGGAAACGTGCTAACATGTTGTGTGGTGATAAGTGCGTGCCAACAGACACTGCCCTGTTGGTCATGACACCCCCGATTTAATGCAAGATGATCCTCGCGAACGTATACCCCCTCCTAGGTACTTTTCTCTCCAACCAAAAATGGTCAATCACGAATTCTTCAGGGCAAACTCCTCGCCCTCTCTGTAACAAGCTCGCTCTCCTCCGCTCCCGCATCAGGATTGACCAGATATGCAAGCGGTGCCCAAACCCTCCAATGCAAGATTCCAATATGAGCAATGCGGGTAGCAACGTCCTTAATATCATCCTTCGAGCCCCCACTCCCATTTCCACCCACAGGGACCTTCGGACTGCCAGTAGCAGCATCAAAGAGTGCCAAACTCGTGAAAGGCGTATACGTCCCTACCAGCTGCTGCAAGATAGGGAAAAGTTGCGTTAGAACGCGGGCCTCCGCTTCTTGGTAAATCCGAGAAGAGGCGTTGCAGATGTGGAAGGCAAGATGGGACTCAAAGTACGGGAGGCGGGTTAGAGGTGTTTTTGTGAGACGCAGGATTTCGAGAGCGAGGGAGGGGGAGAGCGTGTTCCATTTGTCGGCGGACGTGGGTGTTGCAAGGATTGCGAGAAAGGAAGTTCGGGCTTGGGTGGCGGACGACAAGGTAGGGAGGGAGAGGTAGAGAGGGGTTGGGGGGTAGGTTTGTGGGGTTGAGGCTGTGGATGATGGAGATGAGCGGGGACTGGAGGCTGTCGAAGTGCTTTGGTCGTCCTCGATGCTGGGTACCCAGATCTGACGGCCCGTTACAGTACGGATAAAATGGCCGCGCTCAATAATAGGACACTTTGGTTTGGAAGCAAAGTGATGAGGCATAGGGATTGTTGGAGATGAGAGTGTGGTGTTATCGGCAGGCGATGTTGGGCGAACAAAAGGAGACGGCGTGAACGAAGTCGTTGGCGTCTCATCCCGTACATACCGCGTGTCCTGTCGGTTTTCTACCTCGAGGTTGCGGTAAAGCTGCATACATATTTCGAGATTGATCAAGTCTAGCAGGTCTAACCGTAGCTTGATTAAACGCTCCTCATCGAAGAGAAAAGTGTGCGGTACGACTTCGTCTCTTAATGGTAAAGCCAGATTTACGAGAGCTTTCATAAAATCCCACGTGTTTCCTTGCGACTGCATGGCGGCATCTAAGGGGACCAGATCAGGTAAGCTGCTTGCTCTCCTGTACCATGCGTGCGCTCCGGCGATGTCGACTCGTCCTAGGGCAATCTTTTTCATAAAGAACTTCTGTTCAAATGGAACAGTGTCTTCAATGAGTATTGGCCGTAGGCATCGGATTTGATGATTCGCAACATCCTGAGGACAGTTAACCTTGTAACAATTCGGGGAGCAGACTTTCACTTACGAGTTTCATAGCCTCCAAAACACCAAGCAAGTTCTGCATACCAGCCACTAGAAGAGTCACATCGCCCTTTCGGTCTCCATTGCTGAGCTGTGTCACCATTTCGTCCACCCAGTCATCTCTCATAGGAGCGCAATGGCATTTGAGAAGTTGGGAAAGCCACACAGCTAACTTGACGAGATCCGCTACCCCTTTCCGGAACTGCTGCATAAGCAAATCCACGTTGAATGTTTCTTCAACTGAGACGCGGTCACGTTGTGGTACAAGAGTTTCGAGGATGCCTCGAATGGCTTTTAACGTGGCCGGTAAACACCACTCTTTCTCTTCGAGGGCCTCAAATTGTTCTCTATTTGAGATGTATTCCCGAAGTTGTGATCGCATAGTCTCCCAAAAGTGGTTTGCCTTCTGAGTCTTCCTCCTTCCTTTCTCTCCGTCGAGATTCGGTCGGAAATGGAGATCTGGATCGAAATTGATATCGTGTCGTAGTTTTGGGTTGTGGACAATCTTATTCACATCAAGTTCACTTAGTGTTCCCTTTGTGACGGGCGGTTCCAAAGTCGTGTTTTGCTTCGAGATCCCTTCTGTAGTCGTTGCTGGGTCATTACGGAAAAGTTGACCATCCCTCGGCGGACTACTCGGAAACCGTTGACCTGTTGGGCTCTGGATATCGTATGCCCCCTGTTCTTGAGAATCTGTCATGATATTGTCTAAACCCTGAGGTCTTGTTTCCTCAACCGGTGGACTCGTCATCCCCCCATCATTGTTTCCAGGTGGAGGTGGTCGTTCGTCTGCTGCTGCAAAGCTATTGCTGTCGCTATGCTGTCGCCCTCTCTTTTCTGCGTCCGCCATTCTTGAATATTTCCTCCCAGTCCAGCTGCAGACGACCCTTTCACGCCAAGAATTGTGGTCCAAAGAGTTGGTGAACGATTTTATTAATAGCCGGGGGTTGGACGATGCTCGCTCTTGCTGTATCGGTAATCAAGGGGGAAACGGACGACGATCTGCGAGCATTGATATCAGTATAAATCTCTCTTAGGTAACAAACAACAAGGGAACGGAGTTGTGCTCGGGTCTATGATCTCGTGGGTTCAGGAAGCGGGAGGTGACAGAAGCTGTACCACGCAGTCCTTCGAGCTATGAAAGGATGTCTCGAGGCAGCACGGATAGCCACCCACGACGAAGGGGCAGTGTTTGTGTGTCTGCAAGGCGGGCGCGTGCAACTCACCTCTCTTATTCTCGTGTTGCCTGTCTCTCGCCAATGCTCGCCAATTCTATTGTATGCCAACTTTTGTTTACCCCCGTACTTGTACAACCGATCGACAGGACAGAAAGGACTGAAAGGGCGGACGAACGAACGAGGCGAAAGTCGAAAGAGAAGTAGTGAGGACAAAGAGCCACCCAGGCAAAGGCCGAAAACGAATGAATGAAGGACCGACAGAAGGACAACAGAGGAAAACGAATTACAGAGAGGAAAGTCGAAAGTTGCTGTGGTGGATTAGGGATAAGGGATACAGCAATGGCCAAGGTAATTATGCGATAGTACAAAGCAAGGTGAGACACAAGGAAGGCGCAGGGGGGGTGTGCTTGGATTTGGGATCCAATATAGCCCAAGAGGTGAGGCGTACGCAGGCGTCTGGATGATGGATGGTATTATTATAAAGTAGTATTGAAGGGATTGAAGGGCATGACCAGTGATCCTCCGTTGGTTTTCGTAGCAAGATTGAAATGAACTAAAAGGCGACGTGGTCCAGTCTTAAGTCGACAGACAGATCCTCAGCTAATACAGTAATAGTAATAATACACCTCGATGCAGGTCACGAAAGGAGAAGATGGCAAAGAGGGATAAAGTTGTGATGACTCAATTAGAATTATGAAAAGCAAATTAATAGGAGAGACTCAGACAGACAGACCACCATGGATGGCGTGGACTGGAATTTGGATGATGCTGTGTTAGTAAGTTCACCCGTCCCTGTGGTTTTAGCTAGACTATTTACATACATGGTATAATTAAGTCCGCAGACCCCCTGTTTGCGTCCATGCCATGCCACGCTGCCGGGGTACGGAATGGCAGTTACGAAGAAGTATATTACTTCGTATAAATCTACTCGATTCCAACCGGTAGATGACTATACACGTCTACTTACTATATGAAAGAGAAAAAGAAGAATTTTCGAACCTTCGAATGCTGGTGGGGCGTGCTATGCCTCTTGAGTCCAACCAGAAGATTACAGCACTGCACTGCACTCTCAGCTGTCGTTGACTCGCCGCTCATCGCATGAACCTCATGCTCGTGCCGTGCCGGTGAGATACATGGTAATATCGGGGAATGCACAGCGACGGATCAACGGTCACGGCTAAAGATGGCCTGTTCTGTTCCTGGACCCTACTGTACGGAGTAGGAGGCTATCCCTGGCATCCCAGCCTTGCCTGCAGGAAAAAAGCATGTCGACAACACCAATCCCCGATCCCAGCAATAAGTACCGAAAGCCTCATCGGTACCGAGCGACATTGCATTACATTACATTACCTCGTACAGTAAAACTTATGCAGATCCTTGTGGAGGACCCATTCTTTCCATAGCAGACATGTTCCCGTTTCTGGGTCTCTCCTTGTTTGCTGACCTTCTCAGCCAACAATGAGTGGAAAACGGCTGTTTCAACAATTGCAGCCTCAATCTCAGCACCAGGTTGGTGTCAGTTGAGATTTTCTATATGAAAGGGTCGTCCCTGATCGTTTCTTAACTCTGCACTTTATGCATTTAAGGACTTGAGTTCAGCATGTCCATAACATCCGCCTCAAATTCACGATCAGCATAGCACCGCTATTCTCAGCAAGCTTCACCTCGCACAAGCTGACAGTCAGCTCGCACTTCTTACATCTAGGGGCAGAATGCACATACACGTTTCTCTCTGCAACCACCCACTGCGGTGCCGGTTTTCCTTCAAAGACTCGACACAACTCGCAACACGATAGTCGGGCGACGGGCGTACACCCAAGTCATCAATACTTATTTCCAAAATTACACCCGCGCGTCCGTAGCACAAGTCCGGGGAGTTTGACCTGGAATTCGGTCACCAAGCCTTGTTGGCGTTCCTATTCAAGTGGGAGCGATGCCCTCATGATGCCAAAGGAAGTTGTGTTGCGACGTATCCCGCCTCGAGAGGAGACATCAAATCCAAAAGGAAGCACGCGAGTGATCCTCGATTCCTGCCATTCTCATGGCTAAAGGAATGAAGGCAGCGGCGGGCGCTCCGTCTCACTACTTGCAGGTCATCAAACAAGATGCTCACGTCTCACAGACCACCTGTGTGGTCTTTTTTGCATCCCTTAGACGGTTCGCGACATCAAAACGCCCGCCTTCGCTGGGTTCCTTTCTTTTGATAGGAATGGAGCCTCACATTGCAAACAGAACGCGTTTGTCACATTTTCGAGATTTGTCGCTCACATTTTCATCTCCTCGGGAAACAATCCCTTAGTCACGGCGCATTCCCACACTATTTTTGCTGAAACTATTGCTTGCTCGAGTGAGCAGCAATGTAACAGTAATGCGCTTCTTGCAGGAAAAGTGAGGCGAACCAAATTGGAGCACGTGTGAAAAAGTGTGGCTCATGCTCAAGCGAGATAGGGGTTTGCATCACAATTATAGGAGGCTATTGGGCTTGAAATATCTGTCCAAACATATTGCAAAGGATAAAGTAAACTTCAGCCTTCTTTTATATAACAGGTTAATACTTCAATTTTGGGGTTTCAAGTTAAATAGACTTTCTATAGCATCAACCCGTCGCCACCACTCGTTGCCTTGTTCACATGCTCAAATATCACTTAACGCCTCATATCGGCAGCGAAAACAATTGCGGGCCTGTCAGCAAGTACATGATACTTTACAGCTGGGATTTGACGAGATCGGTAGGCTCCAGGGAAACAAGCCATCTCATGCAGGTATTATCGTCGCTCTCTTCGGCACGAACTGTCATTGCACTCTATTTCCGGGAATCAGCAGCACAGAAACCACTCGGCTCTAGGAGTGGGGTCCACGTGGCGATGCCAGCACCCGGAGACCGAGTTCTTTACCACGGTAAGCGGGGCTTTCGAATCGCCTCCTAGATAGAAGCGTGGCGAGAAAGGGGTTTGCTTACTCGGTATGCATCAGAACCATAGTCAACAAGCAGGAAACGCACACTGAGGTGCTGTTGGTCGCTAATATTGCCTCTTTCGTCTCTTAACTAGCGACATCGTTCCGTAAGGGGTACGAAGTAAGGCGATTTTCTCATCGATTCTTCGGTGCATGTTTCTTGCGGAGGGATATTCCGAATTTGATTTATATTGATTGGCGTTGAATGTGACCGGATTGGCAGACATTTCAAACTCTCAATATTCCAGCCTTTTAGCCTCCAGCATAGTTTCCCGAACAAGTTGTTCCGAGTGCGTCTAAACTTCGTTCAACTTCGGATTCGGAGGTCGGGGTTCTATTGGGAACTCCGCATTTGAACCTTCTTTCGTACCCGGCCAATCATATACACCGCCATCCTTTTTTTTTGTTGCATATCGTCTCGGGGTCGGTGTTGCACGCGGGTTTTAAGAATACCTTCACTTCACCTTTTGTATTCCAGCCGTAACCAAATGCGGGGTTCGTTGGACAATTTTTTTGCAATTCGAACAGGAATCGGGGTTTCTGTTCCGGGGGCTTTTCCGTTGACGGAGGATTAGACGACAGCCGTTCGTCCGTACGTTCCGGGGGGTTTTGTTCCAACGCGGAGTTCGGGGCTTGGAGTCGGGTTTTATAAATGCCCTGTCTTCTTTCTATAAAAAGGTAATACAAGTCTCTCTCGGGCGGGCAGCTCATGATCTGTAATCCTGATGATCCAACCCCGGGTTATTCGGAGTTACACTTTCGGTCAAAATGCCTCAAATTTTGCCCAGCTGCTTGAGAGGAGTAGCAGCTATCTGATCACAACCGAATCCCTCTTTCCAGCCCTCACAAACAACGTCGGGTTTCACACTATGGGCAATGCCTGCTCAGACATGTCCCTGCCGACCTCCGGGCCAAACTGAGCCACCGGACCCGTTCCAGCCTCATTCGCAGGAAAAGGTTGCATTTCCGTCCGAGCCTCGAGATTATTCTCACGACGCTTGGTGCTGAATATACATCCGAAGAGAAGGAAGCCCCAGATGAAGCTCACGGGAATTGCAACCATTAATAGCGGCGTTGGGTCTTTGATGGGCATTTTGGTGTTGGGTGCTTGGTGTTGTGGGTATAAATGAGTGTCAAGATGGATGAGAGAGTGTGAGAGGGATGCTTTAATTTTGGGGAATTTGGAGGTTGTATGTGGTGTAGTTCTAAGTAAATATAGAACGGCGTTGTCATCAATACCAAACTTTAACATTCTATGTTTTCGCCTAGTTGGATGAAAGTGATGCCCTTTCGAGCAGGGAATAAAACCCTTATATAATTCCTTGACTGGTTTTATCACAGCGAGTTCCAGTACCAAACGCTTCCTTCTTCACCCCTCCATTAATTCGTCCGTCTTTTCCACTTCCTCAATCTAATCCTATTCCACCACCTCTTTCCTCCTGCCCTTTTCTTGATAATCTAAGGTTTGTTTGATCATTTACGAATAAGCGCCTCCTATTTTATATACTTCTGCTTTTTGAATGATGTGATGTAGTAAAGTAGACTATTATCTGTTTTGTGGTTAAGGACTAATAAGAACAGGTTAAATTCTTTTTACTAGTACCAGCTCTTTGAAGCCTGTGGTTTGGATTTGAGGTATACTCAGAGTGATGATAGATTTGATCTCCTCTCCTCTCGTAGCATGAGTATTTCTTTCCGTGTCAAATTTACAACAGTTAATAATTTTGAGTAAATGCACCAATAATCAATGTTCTGTGACTTCTGTCTTATCTCATCTTTCTGTTTAAGACTAATATGAGCTGATGAATACAGAGACTTTGTGTGTGTTCTTTACAATAACAGATAAAGATATGCTATTATGCTAGCCATGAGACTATAAAATACGGCGTATAATATTCTTGTTTCTCAAAGAATCGTGTGCCTATATAATGCACTTTTGACTTGTGGGATCAGACTAGAGATTGAGATTTCGCCTGAGTCTGGGTATAGACAAGGTAACAAACATAGGCTGTGAAGGAGTAGGTACAGTAGAGAAGTATGAGGAGATGGCGGGGTTTAAAGGAGGATTTCAAGTGATCGATCCATCCCCTTTAATAACTCTACCAGGACTAAGAGTCTAGGATTTCGCTCTACAACTTTGGTTCGCGTCTTGCATTGCGATCCGTGCGAGGAAATGGTCAGTCAAGTCACCTATTCTCCTGTGTCGAAATCGCTAAATTGGAAGTTTGTTCTGGGTTTTGGTAGCTTCGGGCCGGGCTGGACTGTTCTGTGAGGTAGGTACGTGTCTTTTGATAAGTATGTTGATAATAGTAGATGTTTGGAAGGAATGACTTGAGTTGATAATTTTCATTGATATTAGCACATATGTGACTTTCTATACTTTGATCTACATCTATGACCAAATGGTATTACCCCATACCTCCAGACTCCTTGCATATACACTCAGAAACTCCGCGTACAAATGCCATGCTTCGTACAAGGATCCTAGGTTATGCAATTTCACGCTGACCTAGGAGGGAAATCCCTTAATTCCACAACTCCAACTTCATCCGCAGAATCGTCTTCCGTTAATATAGCAGCCTCCTCATCCTCCATCCCCACCTCATTTCCACGCTCCCTCCCCCCTCAACATCCCCATTCGCATCTCCTCCTCGTCCTCCAATACCCCATCTGTCCACCCCCCAACCTCCTCATCCCTCCCCCCAGCCCCTATCCTTACACCCTGCTGCTTCTGCATCGCAACTACAACCGCACTTCCTAAAATAAGTCCACTTCCCCCCAAGCTCCACCACCCAGGACTCTGTCCAAAAACCAGCTTATCAAGCGCGAGCGCAAACAGCATATTAGTATAAATCATATTCGTCGCCCTAGCGCCATTCCCCTCCCCCAGCCGCAAGACCGCTCGTGAGTAAGAACTGCATGATAAAGCCGCAGACGCCGAGGAACAGTAGCATGGACCATTGGCGGAGGTTGGCGGGGAGAGCGAAGGAGGGAGAGGAGGGGATGGGGAGTGTGAGGGACAGCGTGGAGACGAGCGTGCACCATGCGGCGAAATAATTTACGCTGATGAGTGGATGCGCGCGTGGGCCGATCCACCGGATTATAGTGAAGACTGCGGCGGAGCCGAGGACGCCTAGCATTGCTACTGCGACGGCCGAGAGGCGTTGAGCGGAGGTTGGGGTTGGGAAGGATGCATCGAGGGAGGTGGATGTTGTGGAGGTTCCATTTGTGGGGATGGAGGAGGTTGGTGGAGAAGAGGTGGTGAAGAAGGATGTTGGGCGTGCGATTAGGAAGACTCCTAGTAGGGAGACGAGGGATGCGTATTGGGCGGAGCGGGGGAAGGGCTCTTTGAGAAAGAGATAGCAGGCGTAGGATGCTACTGAGGGAGCGAGGAAGGTTATGACTACGGCGTCGGCTACCGGGAGGTATTGTAGGGAATCTGTTGGGTATTAGCATGCCTATTTTCATCCTAGGAGGAGTAGGACTTACAATACATCCCATAAATTCCAAAGAATCCCCAGATTCCACGTCCAATAAGCAACCATCTAATCCCCTTTGCACCAAACGGAAAATCTGGAACACTTTTCCACCACATCCACAAGCAGCAAAATATCATCGTAAGTCCCATTCTAGCAAACAGTATTTGCAGTGGATGCATCCCATCTCCTTCTAGCTCTAGTAGTCTTGTGGTTACATTCATCAACGCCCCGAATAGCTGCGAGAACGAGACCAAGAAGAGTCCTTCATTCCTTGCCCAGAATTTCTTCCAGACATTTTTGAGGGTCTTTGGCTCGGGTGTACTTGGTGCTGGATATGGAGATACGCCTCTAGAGTGAGGAAGTCCCATAGAAGATATCGTACTCACGGACAACCTTCGGAAAGCCTCAGGATTAAGCAGTGTGGCATCTGCTTGTTTTGTGGGATTAGGAGATAGGAAAGTATGGTTTGTACTGCCATTTAGGGCTAAGTCGAAGTTGGAGGGGATATTTTGGAGGGATTCGAGGATGTCTTGGTCTGCTTCAGCGGGGTTTGTGGTGGGATGATGGGGGAGCGCGGTATATGGAGCTGAAGGAGACATGAGTGCTAGGATTCATTGCAATATTTATATCCTCAAGCTTCATAAATCATAAATCATAAAGAATAAATCATGAGATTACACGGACAGTGCAGTAAAGATATGAAGCTTTTCACCTCAAGGCAAACTTTGCAAACCGCTGACGTTGAAAGTCGATGGCGGTAACGGGCTAGAAAGGTGGGATGCACTTCCAACCCGCAAATCGGCTTCGATCCCATCCCCCCCGCATCGTTGGTTCTGGGGTTGGCTGCTTGCGAAGCTGTTTTCAGACCCCGCACGTGCTCCCCTCGCGGGATTGCCGCCGGCCAACTCATTATGCCTGACATTGCATGTATTGGTATTGCTAAGTTGCTTAAGCATAAAGCACGAGCTGGTTATGTTACCGAGTGAAAGTTGAAACTGAAAAAAGGAAAAAGAGTTTCGGGAGTCTACTTCCACGCGGAAAGTTTCCCGAGAGTGACTAGTGTGATTCCCCATGATTTGGATCAAGTACAAACTCGACATCTGCATGTCTTTCCTAACTTGTTATCGTCCAGTCTGTTTCGTTTCTGTTGAAGACATCTCATTTGCTGAAGTTTCATCTAAGCAGAAGTGGCTCTGCCTTTGTGCGAGATTTTGGGCGTTCGTAGATCAGGGCTGTTCTCTTGACGCACTTGTAGAACCTTCAGTTTAACATCGAACTAGCTTGTAAGTGTCATTTATATTAAGCTTGTGAGGGTGAAAAGCATCCTGTTTCAGTAACAGCAGTTTAATGCCCCATTATTATGAAGTATCTCAAATCATACCAAGGATAAACTCGAATTCGAGACTTGATGTATCTGCAAAGGCCTAAGCCGGGTATTGTTGACCCCAAACGCCACGATGAAAATCCACTCTCCCATATTATGCATTCCTGAGCCGTGTCCCTCACTGTACAAACCCAATGAATACCGGAATAAAAATGATAGCAGACGCCGCGGTATCACCTTTCACCTCCCAGCACCAGTTCCAGTACTCCTCCCCCCAATCGTCTTCGCATCCATATCAACATCATCATCCGCATCACCCAGCGGCTCCTCCATCGTCTTCAGACTACTCTTAGTAATCTTGTCATCATTGACATCAAGGAGCTTCTTGGCCTTCTTGATATCGTCATCCTTCTTGAACATCTCTGCCATTTTGCCTAAATACGCAGGGTTCTTGCGGCAGGCGAATTTGATGTCTTCGAGCTTGATCTTCTGGCGGTTGGCGAGCTGTGCCTGGCGCGCGGCTTCGAAGCAGAGCTCGGTGATGAAGTCGGTGAGCAATTCGTCGAGGATTCGTTTGGTCGAGTCGAGGGGTTGAGGAACGTCGCCATGACCATAGAGGAAATGGGCGACTGTGAATTACAGAATTAGAATAGAGGGGACATATATGTAAGCTGGGGATACTTACGCTCATTGTCATTGAAGTTCTGCTGCCCGCGATTCTTGCCAACTCGTGCTCGGGGCTCCATGGTGCTGGATTAATAGTGTTATTCGAACAATCTTCAAATATTATGGGACACGGTTTCGGCTTTGAAAGGCTTTGATGTTTTCCACAAAGTTTGGAAGTTATTGAATGAGTGGGAAGTAAAGCAGCATAGCCATCGGCGGCCGAATAGCTGCCACTAGTGCATCGGCACCGGATAATCTACGACCACCGACATACCTAAACTTGGTTGTCAAGAATCTGTCTGGACACTTTCTACTACACGCTTTTTGAATGCTGTCCTACGCTCGTTGAGATCCAAAGAAGACGATGGTATGTATAACCTCAAGCTTACATCTTTGACTTTTCCCTAGCTAGGCATTCTCGCTAACTTATGAACAGTCGGCGCTCTTCAACTTTCAGTCTGCACTATTAGTGCTTCTCCTCCTCATTTGCACCAGCGCATACTTCCACCAGCTTTTCCCGGGTTTCATGGACAGGAATAAAGATGGGTATGTTATGCTTCCTGAGAAAAGTTATGCGGCGCTGATATTTGATGTAGAGCGGTTACGGGTCTGTTCTGGAAATGCGCGCGGGTTGGAGAAAGATTAAGTCCATACATAAGTGTATGCTGTGTTATCATGGCCGTATGTTTACTTGGAGCATGAGATTCAACAATTACTGACCTGTCCAGGTCTCTTTGTTCATTGGCAATTAGATGGTTGGGATTCGGGGGCGTTTGGGGGGATTATGCTGATACCATACGAATCTGAGAAACGACTGTCGACTTGGGAACAGCTACGACACGAGGGTCATATAGTACTGGGAGGAGGCTTCGCTGCTGTTCTTGGGGAGATCGAAACGCGGACGTCCTGGATGGCGCTCTTCGTTCAGGGGCGTCTTGAGGGAGCACTGCGATTGTACAGTACAACATATGAGACCAGATCGATGAATGATATGGCCACGCTGGTTTTTCTACTACCACTTGGGATGACTACGCTAGTGTTGATATTTAAGTTAAATGGGTGCATCTACAATTTCCTTTAAGTCTCGGGAATTAGAGAGCAGCTACAGACATGGTCTTAAAAGTTGGCTATTAGAAAGCGGTGAAGTAGTTGACAAGGAGAAACACCTCTGTGCCTAGAAGAATATGCTAGAGTTATAACAAGTTGCTGTTGTGGAGAAAGCCCGTTCTCATCTCAATTAAGCAACTTGACTCCCTGAGCGCTGTAGGAAGAGGGGTGTGGTCCACATCTCAGCTTTTAACAAGTCCCAACATTTCAGGTCAAAGATGGCAAGACACGGTAAAAGTTCCGTTCGATTAGTGTCCGTTGAGGACTGTAAATGTTCACAAGTAAAGTTTCTGCTTTCTATGAGTACACCAAGCGTTTGGGCTATAACACCATATTGACTGTCTCAGCTCTTGCAACTCCTGGAAATGCAAACCTTCCAACGCCATCGCTAATATCAAAACATGATCAAATCCCTTTAACCACGAGTACTCGTCCCAACACTTTCATTCTCCCCCCAAATATCCCGACTCTCTTGCTCCACGGCCCTCATAGCAGAAGCCACCTCTTCCAACTTAGCAACGACATCCAGTACACCCCCATTGACCCTCTGAAAATACCGATCATTAGCCTCCCTCCTCCTCCTCGCAAGCAAAATATCCGCCTCCGTCTCCTGTTCTAGCTTACTCCCCATCCTCTCCCCAGCATCCCCTCCAATCCCAGTACTACTCCCAGTCCTGCCTCCAGCCCCACCACTAACCGTACTGTCCACCGTATCGAGCGCACTGAGTCCCTCACCTCCAAGAGCTAATCCCTTTCCCCCACTCCCCGTCTCTCCCGCCTCGTCAGCCTCACTCCTCGCCCACGCCTGTGCAAGGCCAATCTGCGTCGCCCTCAGCTCCTGCAGCGCCCTCGCATGCTGGGGCCCAAAAACATGTGTCCCATTGACAGCACTAAGTTCTACTTCCTCCAGCGTGCTCTGCATCTCGGCCCATAGCGCATCCGTGCGGTCTGCCTGTTTTTTACCCTCTGGATCTTGGTGCCCCCGCGGTACGGCGCGTGGAACAGATGTGGGTTCGGGCACGGTGGGACCGGCCCCGTCGAGGGTGCGCGCCATGCGCAGCGAGCTTTGGCGGATGATGGGGGCGCGGGAGGTTGGTGGTGGGATGGGTGGGGGAATGGTATTGGAGAGGGAGACATGGGAGGCATTTTGGGAAGGGGGGCCGAGGAAGAGGGAGGGGGGTGGTTCGCGGAGGTGTTTGGATTTTGATTTGGGGGGATGTTTGAGACATTATTATATGGTTGGAATGTGAAGATAGGAAACGCGTTGAGCTTGAAGCTGTTTTAGGAAGTCTGAAGCCACGTGACAACTAGAAACAACTTGTGTAAAGGATGGACTTAATTCGATTTGCCCATCTATGTACCTAGGTAGTTAATTAATATAAGTATATCTGTAGCTTTGAAAATCTAAACGAGGTCGTTTTGACGTCATGGGGCTGACAATATAGTCCTATATCTGCGCTCTGTTGTTGTGTCATCTTCTCCCCTTGAATAATTAATTTCAAACGACAGGCCCAATCCCTTTATAATTCATATGAAAACGATAATGATATTTGCATCCTCAGTTGGAACCAAGAATGTGGCATGTGATTTAGCATAAGTACCTAAAAGATATGTATGTTCAAATCGGCCGGCATCAGTAAGTCACCAGAAACGGCTGATCTTTCACAGTAAAGAAAATCTCGAAACACCAGGAGACAATTAGAAAGTTGGGTAATTTCTCTGAAGGAACAGATCCATATTCGATATATATGAGGTGAAAGTTGACCTATATACAAGATGCTTGTGTAAGTACTGCCGGGAAGAAGTATGAGACGGGAAGCTGCTCTACTTGGGTAGCTTTCAAGAATACATCATTCGGGCAATCTAAGGGGTTTCCGGTAAATCAAAGTGATGTACATCTAAATAGGCCAGGAAAACAATACCATGTAAGTGGAAAGTGACAATGTTCTTCATCCAGTCCTGCGTGGGAGCAGCAAGGTACTTGGACGGATATACGCAGTCAGTGCAAATCAATGAGGGTCCAACAATACCATTTGTAGCCACCTTGAGACCAAAATGCTAACAAGCCAAATTATGAATTCAAGAATTCGTAAAGCAATAGAACGAAGAGGTCGAGGTCCTTGTATCGACATCGACCAACTAGAAGGTGGGGCCATCAACACGTGACATAGCCATCGCTTAACTTCTTCGCACCAAGCTAGATTTTAAAAAGAATTTGCCCTCAATCCATCGACGACAACGCCAACCTCACTTTACAACACCCCCATTATCGCCATAAACCGGTACGTCTACGTCCACCTATCCCCTCTTCACCCCAAGTCCTTACGCCCTCATCCCCAAATCTAACATACTGCAGCAATCATGGGAAAAGGAAAGCCCCGTGGACTCAACGCCGCCCGCAAGCTGCAAAACCACCGCCGCGAACAGCGCTGGGCAGATCTCTCGTACAAGAAGCGCGCGCTCGGAACCGCTTTCAAGTCTTCGCCTTTCGGAGGCTCGTCGCACGCCAAGGGAATCGTTCTCGAGAAGGTCGGTGTTGAGGCCAAGCAGCCCAACTCTGCTATCCGGAAGTGTGTCAGGGTGCAATTGATTAAGAACGGAAAGAAGGTTACTGCTTTCGGTATGTGCCATGCGGTCTCACATCTTACCTGCAATTCGTGAATACCGGGATTGGTGGAAGGAGCTGGGATGATTTGATTGAAGGAAGGATATTAGGGAGGTGCGAATTGATGGAAGAAACGTGGGCTAACAAAATTCTCTCTCACAGTCCCCAACGATGGTTGTCTCAACTTTGTAGACGAGAACGACGAGGTCCTGCTCGCTGGATTCGGTCGTAAGGGAAAGGCGAAGGGAGATATTCCCGGTGTGCGATTCAAGGTCGTCAAGGTCTCTGGTGTCGGTCTGTCTGCGCTGTGGAAGGAGAAGAAGGAGAAACCCAGATCATAGATACAGCATCGCACGATTTACGGAATTGGGGGTCTCTTGGTGTTACATTTGCGATTGCATTGCTCCCTCTACAGACGGGTTGGGTTGGGCTGCGCATATTGTGACGATGGTCAAGAATGAAAATTGAGCATTGAACACACCACCATATGGCGAATGGAAATTGCTGAGTGAGATGCTGTGACTGTGCTGAATCTTGCTCGTGAGGGGTTTTGCCTTGAGATGGGTAGGTATTCCTCTGTGATACTAAAGCCTATGTAGGAATGGGCTGATTTACAGACTGCTCGCTGTGTCTCCCTCAAATATGTGCAAGCATAAGCCGCCAACGGAGACATAACCCCAAGTATACATCCGCAGGCATTTTCTCTCAATACTGCAGCTAGGTTCTCTAACTTTCTCGAGCCCAATGCTCTACTGTCTTCGCCAAGAAGCCCCGCTCCCATCCCCACCATATCAAAAACAGGCGGCGATCCATAACCGCGAAGCACTGCCAAAACACGAGTCTTGCACTTGGCGAAGTATGCTGTTCATATTTTGCAAACCTAGTTCTTGTCATTAACATAACCAGGTATCTTGATACATACATGGACGAAGAGATATCTCCAGTAACAAAAAACGATAGATCTAGACCACGTGCGGGTATAGGCAGGTAAAATCAAGGTATCATTCAATCATCCTCTACTACAAGAAGGTATCATACGCATTAATAATAAACCACACGAAACGAGATTCCCCCCGTCGCATGATGGGGAAAACTACTAATTCTTTCCACCACTAGTCTGAACCAGCAACGCCCTCGGAATCCCAGGCCCCCTCCCAATAACCTCCTTCGGACTGACTACCCCCCATCACAACCTGAATCTCCGACGCCCCCTCAACGGGACCCGCAGATATGTACTCTCCTCCCTCCAGCTCCACCCCAACAAGCCTCTCGTAATCCCTCACAATCGTCGCATTAACAGCCTGCACACTCCTGTAATACAACTCCGTATCATCCACCGCACCAACATCGACACCCCAAAACCCAAACTCCTGCCCCGTGCTCCCAAACCCACTACTCGTACCCGTACCCGGCGACCCAAAATAATGCGCCGTGCCGTTCTGCGCCGTTGAGAGCGATGACCCCGAGAGCCCTGAGACCAGGGGCGCGGATCGGGAGATGGAAGAAAAGGGCTGGAGACCGGTGGGGAAGACGGGCTCGCCTTGGATAGAGAGATGCATGCCGCGGACGACACTAGCGTCGAGAGTGAAATTCCCGCTCCCATCCGGCTGCACGATATACGCCGAGTTCGCGTACAAGGGGTAGGAATACGCAGCTTTGTAAAATGTGCCGCCTGTCGATAGGTCCGTGCCGGTTGTTGTCTGGTTGTTTTCTTGGATGGCGCCGAAGGCGGTAAAGAGGCCGTAGTTTGTGACGGCGAGGGATTGCGTCCATGTTACGAGGCTGGTGCCGTTTTGAGTGGTGAGGATCGTGGAGATGGTGAGGGAGCGCGAGACGTTCGTGGTGTAGGTGAGGGTTTCGTTGGCGCCGGTGGAGTTTTGGGTCAGTGATTGGGAGACGGCGATGCTTGGTGCTGGGAGGAGGAGCGTGGGGTTCGGGCCGGTTGTGATGGCGTTTTCGTCGTCGTCTTGCCAGAGGAAGACCTTGCCCGTGACATACCATGAGCTGCCAACTGATTCGGTGAGCGTCCCGCTGTTCTCGCCGTCGTCTAGGATTCCGGCTACTCTGATCTCGAACGTGTGGGAGTTACCATCGCATAGGACTGGGAGCCAGGGCGTAATGTCTATTTCGTGTTCGCGGAGATCAAAGGCATCGATGCCCACAATTGGTCGCCAGAGCCCAGGCACAACCCCACCTGTGAAGATTACAGGGAAAGGCCATTGTACCCCTGCTAGTTGACCGTCAATCAGAACTTGAACCTCTCGGAATGGCGAGTACCCATAGAGGGTTCCATCGACAGGCACAAATGTATCGATGTTAGACTGCAACACATTGCTCCACCAGAATTCCTCGGCTGCCTGTCCACAAGCAGAGACAGAGAAGACAGCCCGATTTGCATTCCTAGGAAAGCTAACCGTATTGGTCGCATTGTCAGAGGGAAGTGTAAAGACACTTGCAGCACTGGCATCTCCTTTCCGCGCAGAGATTGGGATGATCAGAGATGCAGGTTCTACAGTGTCTTGGGCCGTGAAGAATGTTGCCGTAAGGGTTGTGTTGAAAGGACCAGTGTACGTAGAATCAATCAAGTTTCCAAGATCAAAAATCAGTTTTTGGGTCGAGTTCCAGAAGTACATGTATTCGGTCATGTCCTTTATATACTCCCATCGAATGCCATTGGCGGTAGGTTCTGCGGTAGAGGTTCGCCAAACTTCAGTATCACCAAAGTACATGAGCGCCAGTCTATCAAATTGCCGACCTTGCGACGTGACAGTGAAATTCATCACCACACGATTGAACTTGCAATTTGGAGGTGTGTAGTTTCCTGAAGTTGACTATCAGTACTGTGCAATATAATTGTGGGGTCTTTGTAACATACCGACAAAAGGGATTCCATAGCTGAAACCGAAAGAATGCTCCATCAAAAGTACCTCACAACTGCTGGCTGGTGTAGTTGGAGCAATAGTAGTGGTATTCTCCGACCCATCACTTATGACTGTTTCGTCAACTGCCCCGGAAGGGAAGAGAACTGGCTGATAGACCTGAAAGCACTCCAAGACTGCCGAGGAAGGCGTAGCAGCAGGCGTTCGGGCTGCGTGCCTCGCTAGATCGAAAGACGCCGAAGTGCTTCCATGCTGACCCCCTTGGCTAGCTATGAGGCAGTCGCTGAATATCCAGAGCAAACCAATACAGCATGCGGCGAGACTAAGGAGTAATGGCCGGTGCCAAATCAATTGGTACGTCCTTCGGGGCTTAAAAAATACCCTGTCGGATCTGTCAAGAAACGACTTCTCATTCATATGGCCACCTTCGACCGAATCCAACGGTTTATAATCCTCGCTAATCTCCATTTCGAATCTTCTCTGCGTTCGTAATTGATCGGTTTGGCCTGGCGTAATCGAGGCTGGTGAAATTTGTTAAGTGATGAGTGAGAATTGGAAAAGAAGAAAAAGATTTCTATGCTCCGTTGGTAGCCTGTAAATTGTCCCAATATCTCTTTCTTGCAGAGGATGCCACTTGCAGTCCCTCAAAACGATGTTGGAAGTAATTGAAGACAGCGAATTCCTCCCGACTCATAACATAAGTTGTTGGTTGAGATACAATCCTGGCCCAGATGTCTGCTATGGCAGTCTCGAGAAGGTTTCTGACAATTGGATCCTCAATGCCGTCTTCACTGTCTCTGGCAATTTCGAGTGCTTCCGCGACAGTTGTGACGGAATGGTATGAAGTCTGTCCTGGGGTTTCATTATTACCGCCCATGCTCATCGAAGATAAGATAACGCGTGTTTGGACAACGAGGCTGGGGAGGGAATCGTGTTCAAGGAGCAAAAGAGGAAGGTCTAAATGGTGCTGGATGATCATTGCGGGGAGAAAGAGAAGAGTAATAGAACAAGCGGTCAATGCTTATATGTCCCGTCCTACCCCTACTCAAGCATGAACAACAAATGGGTAGGGATGCAGCGGGGTCTCGTAACGGTGACAATGTCGTACTGCGATGTGAGAGTGGATGGCCAGTAGAAAATATTGGATGAACGCCTCTTTTCCTTCTTATTTGCCTTGTCTTATATCATACCGGCCGGTATCCCTTGTTGAAAAGCTCGGGGAAAATGGACCAACTCACTTATGTTCCGATAAACCCGGCTTTCAGGTCAGAAAAGTCGAATGAGTGGTGGCTTTTGTACTTGTAGGACGAAGAAGCTTTGGTAACGGATCCTTGTTTCAAGGAGTTCACTCGGATCGCTTGTACTTCGAAGTAGCAGTAGATTAGCTTGAGATTCCGGATATAACTCCGCAAATTGAACGAGCTCTTGCATATGTGGGGGTCGCGAGAAACGGTCTTACGGTACGAAGTAGTATGGGTCATTCACGGAGTATAGTACTGATTGAATCACGGCAAGTGATCTGGGTAATTATCTCGCACCGGCTTGTCCTGACTCTTGACTCTTGAGTCGAGTCGAGCTTCTAATATATACGACGGGATTGTTATAGTGTCGAGTACTAGGTAGGTAGGTAGGAACGGGAGCTGATCTTCGACGGGAGCTGATCTTCGCCGAGGCTGTACCCGAGAATCAGGCGGTACTTCGTACTCCGTTAAAGTTGTATTCCATGAGGTAGATAGATGACTTGAGTAATGAATGGGCTTAAGGCCGTGACTCCCCGTGTAGTCACTGCAGTGTTACTGTTAGCTTCTGAGTTGAACTCTCCTCCCCCTTAATAAAGGTTAAGTTGTGGGGGCTAAGCAGAATGATATCACTACGTCTAAAGCCCTGTGGGACTTTACAAGGACTGTAGATACTTTAGTAATACCCTCGCCGTGAATCCAGTAGGTACGGAGGTAGTAGATCAGCTTTATGGAGCCTTTACGTGATTTAACCTTTATGTAGGGGGGTTAGTAGTGGGATCGGTGGTGTTTGCGCGCGGTGCGCGTTAGGCTATTTGAGCCTATAGACTTTTTCGCTATTCACGTACAGTAGCTTACAGTAGCTATGCTGTCAAAGCTCAAGGGCCCGATTAGTACGGAGTAATATTCCGACAGGCGGCGGAACTGCCTACTTGATATAACTCCGTGCCGCTAAATGGTATTTTTGATTCCATTTTAGAGTTCAAATTAGGTCAAATGCGTTAAGTGATACGCGGTAAACAGTGCACACCCATCTGCCCAATCACGTGGCTAGGAACGGACTTTAGATCAAGCAGATCACTAATTATTTCCGTACGGAGGGTAAAGCCTCACTACTGATAGAAAAAGCGGGGCTCGAGTCATTTTTCGGCCGCATAGAGTACAGTAATCACTTTGATCTCTTGGCGACAGATCCCGCGCTTCATGTCTCGGTCTGCGTCCCGCTCACGGCACGGCCTGTTGCAGGGTCGGTTGCTTTTCTTTCTTTCTTCTTGGAGTAACACACACCACCCTTTGGCTTTCATCCAAACTCCCCCCCTCCATACGCCTACATAACGTCCACACCTACCTCGTAATGCCCACACTCTACTTGACCACCGTCCACACTTTACTCGACAACGGGCGACAGTTTCTTTTGATATAACTTTCAAGTACAACTCGGCAGAGTTTCAAGTAAACTTTGTGCGGACGGCTCGAGGCTCAAGGCTCATCGCGAGCCGTAAACATGGCAAAGACGTGGCAGAGCAGCGGCTTCCTCGTTCTTTGGGACCCCTAGATATTGGCGAAGTTTCACTATATGTACTGCATGGGCTATATTAGGCTATACGAATATCGCTTAGTAACATTGTACCGGAATATACGTATGCTCAAGGTACTTCCTTGCTGATACTCATGATGCCTTGCCCAGCCTTATTTTATCCTGTATTTTGAACCTCTCGGCCATTGCTTAGGAGAGTTATTCGCAATATCGCAGCGCATCGCATCGCATCGCATGAAATTTCTCCTAGCCGATTTGCTATACCTGTACCGTATTAGTTCCCGAAATTCAAAGGCTGCTAGCAGTCTAGCATATGAAGTGTGTGGTTCAGAGGCTCTTGGAGCCTTACTGCGTAGTACGGCATTCTCTAGCGCTAAGAACTTTTTTTTAGCAGGCCTGACAAAAGTCTTTCATGATACATGCTAGCATAAAGCTTTGATTGCAGATATTCATCCTTAAACCAAGCAGAATAGAATGGCTTTCTCGGAAATCTAAAATCTCCGAAACTATATGATTTACCTTAGCAATACGGATTTAACGCTACGGAGTAAACTGCTAGCGTTCCACAAACTTCGGGAAATAATACGATACCCAGTTATTCGGATGGCATCGCAACAAATTTCCCTTAGTTGATTTCCTGCTGCCACTAGGAACTTGTACCCGTCCCCGTTGTTTGATACCCCGCTATAATACGTCACAGCGCCCTCAGTTTGCTTTTCACTTTTCACTTTTATGCTTCTAGAAGATCTTAACCTTCTGCCTTGCTTGAAAAGTATATCCAAAAATCCAAGTACGTCGGCCAGGGGTCGATCCGATCCCTTTTTAGGTAATGCTTGACTCGCGATGCTTTCCCGGTAGTACCGATGAGTTATCATATGCCCCATACATATGCCCCATAGGCTGGCTCGTCTTTCAACTAAATTCCTTGGAACTAGCAAGCATGGAACCTTCGTTTTCCTCCCCTTACTGCTCGAGTCATTTCAGTTCTACAAGCACTGGGAATCCTTACGCGTAACTATGAAGTCATAAAGTTAAATTTGCCCGGTTCAAGATTTTGTCCGCTATCAGTGGCACAGTAATACCTTGCCTCCGTTATATAAACTTTCGGTACTTTCTCCATTAGACTTAGGGGAAACCTTATTCCTTTTGGGGTTTTGTCCGGTCGGCTAAGTGCAAGTGCAAGTGCAAGTGCAAGTCCGAGAGCAATGATATTCTTGAAACTGTCTTAGGAAATAATTGCCGCTTTGGTTTTCTCTCTATCTTTCGACCAGAAGGAAAGCAACTCACTGAAGCCCTCCCAACGTCCAAAAGAATTTTTCGTCACGTGGATAATATCCACGTTCAGGTATATATCTTGAGAGCATGTAGGAATATGTCCCGGCTTGCGGTGGACAGAAAAAGCGATAACTCATAAACTCAATCCCCACGGGGATTGACATCATTATCGATTTCGACTATCTAGCGGAATAGTTTCCCCTGAAAGTCTCCGTCTTTAGCTTTGTATAAGCCACTAAAGAACCTTGGAATTCGGCGGTTGACTTTGTTAGTAGATCCCGCATTTCAAATCCGAACCGGAGCTAGGAGATAAACACAGCTCGCTATATGTAAACTAGGCTAGCTGCTCTATCCCTTTAATCTGCAGAGCAAGCGGTGTAATCATCTATATTAATTTATTGCTCATGAGCTGATTCCAAAGTTCCCGAAATTGGTCCGTCAAATAATTCCCTACAGGACTTGTACGGTCTTCTTATTATAGAAAATGTCACTTCGGTGTCTCGAAATGCTTAGCTTACTTATCTAGTACTCTAATCATGAGTTCGATAACGTGAGGGGTCAATGTCCCACTCCGCCGGAATCCCTCCAAAATACTTGAAATATCTTTCAAAGTACTTTTGCTATTTTTTGTCCAGACTTAGCTATTCAAATAATCAAGCTGTATGTTATAACAAAGGAGAGAAAAACTCCCATATCGTTTGGATGGACAGGTCCCCAGGCGGCCCATGGCAAGGATCCACAGAAAGAAGGGAAGACAAAAGTATCTGCTTCGATCGGAATCACGCCTTCGAGTACGCGCTATTCCTTGGAGCAAAACCACACCATGTTGGAACTATCGACTTCCATCATGTCGGGGGATAGCATGCCATTGAAAGTCATCCAGGAAGTTTCCGGAGCCGATTCCTTCATGAAGACGACTCGCGAACATCTCGTCCAGATCGGCTTTTAAATTCCAAAAGGGATCATGGATGGATGACCTTGTATATATAGATCAAGATCCAGAGTGGAGTTTGGATATCGGATATAAGGGCATCTATTACAGTATGCGAAGAAATGACTTCTGCAGCCTGGACGCCAGGTAGTTGGAAGATCTGCATAAAGCTTCGAACTATATACATGATTGCAAGCCCTAGAGGCTGTGAATGGAATATCCGAAAAAGAAGCGCCTCTCTACATGTTGTTAGCGGGAAAAGCTGCAAGTGCCATCTATAAAAAAGGGGTTTCTTAGCTTCCTAGGGAAGCGAGATTGAAATCACGTCGTATACGCGAAATCGCGTGCGCAAGCACCACGTGCCAGGACTTAACATCGGGTGCAACTCGTTACAATATGTATATATATATATATTTTCCGTTTTTTATTACTTCTATGTCAACTATCTAGAACAAGCAATAATTAATAGTCGTTTCATCCTTTTCGCTTACTTAGCAAAGCGAGCGAAGAAGGAAGAAGTAACCTCCTACTATTATTGTTCTTAAGTTTCTGTTGGTATCACAGGTGTTGATATCGTGATCACTCTCTACTACGTAGTATAGACTTGACTCTGGTTGATGTAGCTTAGCATTCATGGTGGTGTTGACGCGAAGAGGTTATGCCTCTTTGCTGACTAAGCTACGCTAGATCACATGGTCGGGATACAGCCCATTATCCCAACAGTTTCCTAAGCTCGAAAGTATTAAGGAGAATATAGAGCCTTAGAGAAAAAACTACTGTATCAATTTGCATAGAGCACTCTAGCGTTGGCCTAGAATAAGGGATTTTCCCTTATGACTCCAAGTAAGTGCAAATATGCAAATCATTCCCTTCTCGGACAGATGCATTATAACCGTTCGTTGAAGTTATCCTTGTAGGTACATCAGTCTATAACTCCTTTCAAGTCTCCCAGTTCTGAATGCTTGATTATTCTTTCCCGCGGTTTTTACCCCATATGCGATAGCTCTATGTGCCAAGTCTTAATTAGTGATTAATAGATGTTAAATTCTGGAGATATCCTATATATACTCTGCTTGCTAATTATCAAGTGACTTGCTGGCCGATAGTTGCCTAGCACCCATATTCGCTACTATTACTATATTACTACGCTTCAGAGCTCTGAATTTATAGCTCTATCCAACCATAAGTCTGCCCAGTGGCTCGGACACAGCCTCTCCTCAGTCACTATAAGATACTCCCTCGATAAAGAAGCAGCCTTGGTTTGATTCTTTCTTAACAAACCATATTATATGTGATAAATGCGAATGCATATTATAAACCGCAGAAACCGATTAATTTTTCTATAAGAGGAAATGTTCAACAATATCAAAATTAAGCAAATATAGTAAGTAAATCGATTTCACAAGGAAGCAAGTCTATCTTTTGCAGCTGCAATGACAATTTTGCCCTGCATGGAATTGCACTCTTCGGCTTCCATTGCCGGCCGGGCGCTATTGATTAGTTATATATAGCAAGGTATAAACCACTCTGCTTTGCGAACGTCAAGATAGAAGATACACGAGGACGTACTCAGGATCCAAAAACCCAAAACACCAAGCCGCCTAAGACACAGAACGCAGAGCACCGCGAAACCCAGAATGTCAGATAAGCATACTCCCAAATACGGTCTTTCAAAGCCACGGTCGTGCTTCCGGTAGAGGCAGAGCAGCCCGTCTCCCATCGCCCGAATGAATGAAGTCGAGACCTGAAAGGGAAAAGTAGAGGCAATAGAGCACCCACTACCTCCCCCCCCAGGAAGCGTGAGACGGAAAGAAAAAGCAGCACTTATCATACATTTATCATTTCCAACACCCCACTTCACTCCAATCCGATGCACCTAACACCTTCACACCGTACTGCTTTCTTGTTCCATCTACTGCGAGCCGTGTTATACGTATACTAACTACACATACCTAGGGTAAACATAGAGTAAAATAATCTTACCTTCCCTCTCTCTCCCAGCTAAAAACGACGGGAAGAAAGTCGTAGTCACACAGGAGGAACACTGCTTCGGAGCAGGGTAATAATAATTACCAGTACCAAACAACCTCGATCTCAATCTCCCGGATCTCACGCATAACTGACTATAGTAAATCACTTGAAGAAAGAAAGAAAGAAAGAAATGAATGAGAAAGATATACCGAAACGCAATAACGCGTATGAAACGCTACCTATAACACACTCTCTTGAGGTTAAGAAATGAACACACGGCTTACTGAGGCAAGAGGATTCTAAATGGCTCATCTATCTTAGTAAATGAGGCTTTTGCTTTTTGGGAGGCGGGATGTATGGCGATGGAGGGGATATGAATGGATGAATGGTAGGGATGGAATATACTAGGTATTGGGGATGGGTTTGCTCGCAAGTGCAGGACGTTTCTGTCTTTTGGATGGATAGATGCTAGCTTGGATTAAAGGGGGAGGGAAAGGGAAAGGGAAAGGGAATGGAGATTCATATATGGGGATTTTGAGCGGGTTCTAGTGGTGCGGTGGTGATGTTTTGATATAGACATTAGGGTCTATTAGAGGTGTATATATACTTAGTTCCTTGAGACGCTGCAATTCCAATTCCATCTATCCAACGCCAGCCTATATGCATAATCCATTCTGTCCATCCCACCAGACAGCCATCAAACAACCTCCCCATCACTCTTCCCCTTCCTCTTCCCCAACCCCAACACCCTCCTCCTGGCCCCCCCTTCCCCGGAATTCTTCTTCTCCTCCCCTCCATCCCCCAAAGCCCCCCTTATCACCCCTCCTCCTTCCCGTCTTCACATCCCTGCGACTAGCACAGCAGCAGATCAGACAAAGGTGTATCACCCATCCAAAAAGGCTAAACGCAGCTCCAACCCACATAAACGCAAAAATCTGCGTCCCAATCTCCGCACCGATATTCAAGCCCGCCTGCGACGTGATGACGTTGCGGAAAATAACAAACATCACCGTCCCGATGATCGCCCCAGCCGTTGTGAGCAGCGCAGCTATGAACGTCCAGATGGCGAACGGGAGCTCCCACCACCGCGAGTACAGCGTGACGGGCGCTATGAAGATGCTGATGAAGTTCATGCACACGCCTGTGAGGAAGCAGCCGAACATAACGCGGGACGCGATTCGGATCAGCGAGAGGATTTTGTTGATGTCTGCGGGTAGGGCGATGGTCGCCCCGGACAGCAGCTCGTTGAGTAGGATGGATACTGGGTTGAACCAGTAGAGGGCCCGCGGGTGCGAGCAGGATGTTATGCCATCGGCTGTGTAGCCTTCGCAGAAGTTCCACAGCCCGACTTGGTAGAAATCGTGGAGGCCCAGGGAGCGCGCGAGGGAGTTGGTGAAGATTAGGTCGCTAGGGGAGGAGGCGGGGATTATGTTGGTGAGGTTTAGTTTGAAGAACCAGGTGGAGCGGATTACGGGTTTGTTGTTTATGTTTCCGATTAATGTCTGGGTGGAAGATTAGTTTTGGGGGATTTGATTTGGGGGGGTTGAGGGTGACTGACGAGGATTAGGAATATGACGGAGATGAAAAAGAATAGGCTGGATATTGTTATCCATGTTTTCCGTTTCTTGGTGGCTTTTATGAGGAAGTTGGCTGGGTATTGTTGTTTTGGAGTTAGAGTTCGTTCTGAATCCCCTGATGGCTCTCCCCCTCCTTCTCCTTGAGCGATTGCTCCATCTGCTGGTTCTCCCTCTTCCTTCTGCTGCCGCCGCCTAGCACCTAGTGATACGAAGCTGGGGAGAACCATTGTTGCTCGATATCCTATCCAATTGGCACTTTGCTGGCGGCCGTGGACAGATGATGGATGGATGGGAGGAGCAGAGAATATTTCGACAGCAAGCGGGCGATACAACGGCAAGGCTGCCAAGGCAGGATGGGATGGAGTAGTGTAGATCAACAAAAAAGAGGTTATTAGCAGTTTAATCGTGAGTCAGGATCATCATCATCGATCGGCTACAGGGGAGAGGTACAGTACAGTACGGGCACGGTATCAACTCCATTGCGCGTCTCGACCGCACTCGTTCTGGTTCGACAGTAGCGTGGTGAAGAGGCGCCACTAAAGAGTAGCAACACCACCCCACTCTTATAGTCAGTCAGTACTAGAGTCAGGGCTTGAGCAGTATCACTGCAAAAGGAAATGGATTTGATGGGAAGTCCAGAGCGTGTGTTCAAGTCATCTGTGTGCAGCTTGTTGCAGAACTCACTCACGGTTGGCGTTGAAACTTCCAGATGATACAGTCAGATGATACAGTACGCTGAAGATGCGGCGGTCTCAGAAAGTAGTGGCGTGGCGTGGCGTGGCGTGGCGTGGCTTTACCGTACTGTACGTTAGGCATATGGGGCGCTATAAGCCCGCTGCACGCACGCTCTATCCAATCCGGATTTACCTTTGAAGCCTCTTTCTTCCAGGGGTTGAAAATCCTTGAGTAGATCCGAGTCAGTTCAGTCGCCTTTGATTCAAATCACAACTCCCAAGAATATCACCGCCATGAAGACGCGTGCTTCATACGAGGTTACAATATCGATACGGGTACGGCTTTCTCTCCATCAGATCGTGCTGGTGCTGCCAGCCTCTCCTTTCCCCCCGGGGAACACATTCCAAAGAAGCTCAGCCTCAATCATGATGACGCTTGCGCCAACCGGCTAACATGCTTGTTCAACCCGTACCAAGCTTTTTATTGTGGAAACATTTATTAAAACTTCCTTTCCCTACTCCGTACAGTATTTCCCCCTCAGCCCCTTTCTCAATTTTGCAAATCTTCTCAGAGAGATCTAAGGTAGCCATCTAGACCTTTTTAGTTCTTTTAAAAAGGACTAAAGCGGGAATAATACCAGCCGGAGTCTATTGATCCCAGATGCACGACGGCACGGTCACGGCTCGGTTTCTAGCTGCCGATCTACGTCATTACTGTCTGTGATTTTCCACTTTTTTTTTATAACGACAACTCTGTACTTCGAAGTAGTTGTTTTCTACTTCGTTTGGGCTGGGGCGTGCGTTTGTTGACAGCCATCGCCCGTCTTGGATTATTCTCCGATCTGTATTTCGAATATTCTTATCCCTTGTGGGCTTCCAGGTGTACCTTTGCATTCCCATATTGCATTTGTTCTGCCCATCGCTGGTCGTCTCAATCTTGAGAGAAGGGCTCAAGACCGCAATAATGCTCTACTCACGGCTTCTCCCATATGGCTTTGCCTTTGCCATTGCTGCGAATGCTCAGGATTCCAGCTCCAGCTCCGATTCCAGTTCTTCTGCTTCCGGCTCTGACAGTGTTTCTGTATTGACTGGTATCACTGAAGATGCTACGCCTACCGGAGACTATATCTCATATGCTTCAACTATCACCATGCCCTCGACATCTGCAATCACAACCTCTGAAATTGTCTCGACAATAACAAGTGGATCCACAACCCGAACCACAACCCTCGGATCAACCACGTTATTTGGTGTTGGGACTTCAATAATAACATCAAACACTTCCACGGCAACTGGGAAGGATCAATCGACAGTATCTTCATCCAGTGATTCTCAAGTCCTCCTCTCAGGATCGCCAAAAACCTCTTCCATATCCCTAAACAGCACCACAAATGCGACAAGCACCTCGACATCCTCCTCAACCCTCCCCACAAACACGACCCCCTGCAACAACTACGCGGAATTCTGCTCCCGCAAATACGGCAACATCACCGAAGTGTCGGCCCACAACTCGCCCTTTGTCAAGACCGGCAACGCAGCCGCCAACCAAGCCCTATCCGTAACGACGCAGCTGAACGATGGCATCCGGTTGCTGCAGGGGCAGATGCACTTTGTGAACAACACGCCGCATTTCTGCCACACGTCCTGCGACGTACTGGACGCCGGTCCCATCACGAGCTACCTGGCCGAAGTCTACACGTGGGTGTCGACGCACCCGTACGACATCGTCACCCTCCTGCTGGGAAACGGCAACTACTCGAAAGTCGAGTCATACGTCCCCTTCATCCAATCAACCGGCCTCGTGCAATACGCGTACGAACCCCCCAAGATCCCCATGGCGCTCAACGACTGGCCAACCCTCGCATCCATGATCCTCTCCGGCAAGCGCGTCATCTTCTTCATGGACTACGAGGCCAACCAAACCGCCGTGCCCTGGATCCTAGACGAGTTCTCCCAGGTGTGGGAAACGCCCTTTGATCCCACGGACCGCTCATTCCCCTGCACCGCACAGCGGCCCCCGAACCTCTCGGACAATGACGCCAAGAACCGCATGTACCTCGTGAACCACAATCTCAACTACGATATCAACATCCTGGGAAACTCCCTCCTGGTCCCCGACATCCCGCGCTTGAATATAACCAACAACATCACCGGCGATGGCTCCCTCGGTAACAGCACGCAGGATTGCGTGCAGGAGTGGGATTACCCGCCCAAGTTCCTGAATGTGGATTTCTATAATGTGGGTAACGGGAGTGTGTTTGAGGTAGCGGCCAAGTATAACAACGTGACGTATACGCGAGCGTGTTGTGGATTACCGGTCAGTGGAGCGGGGAAGCTGGTGCTCGCTAAGAGGAGCGCGGGGTTTGCGGCGTTGGGTAGTGTGGTGCTTTTGCTTTGGTTATGATGAGGAGATAATAGATAGATGGTATAGATGGCATTTCTTGTATATAGAGAACTTTACATAACACGGGCTTGGATTTTACTTTACAGGCCTAGATACCTAGGTCGGTAGGTCCGTATGGTAGATTTGCATAAAGCGAGGCGATTGGGAGTTGTTCTTGGTTCGTTGGTTGGCTTGGCTTGGCTCGGCTGGGCTGTATAAATGAAAAAAATATATATAATGTTTCAAGACTTAAGTCAAGTATATGATCAAACACCCCACGTCCGGACTCCGTCTATTCATTTTAGCACCTTTATATACTTCCAGCTTAAACCACCTTTCACTATTCTTGAAACATGACAATATGCACAATATATATATTCTTCATATTGATCATAGGATCAACTAACTCATAAATCATTCATCACCCCATCAAACTCAAGAACCCCCCCCCTCATTCCGCACCCACGGCGTACTAGCCTGCAACAACTTCCCGAAATCCGGCGTCCCCAACCCCGTAACCGCATCCCACCCTACCGTCGCATTCCACGCCGCCCCAGGAATAACCGGACTGCCATTCGCTAGAAGATCAAACCGCCCGAACCCATTACACCCCGTGCCCGCACCGAGCGTGACGTCGTTCAGCGCGCTGTGGCCCACGGCATACAGCCACGGGTTGAGGAAGCCGAGCGTCGGCAGGTTGGCCGAAACGCGCGCTGAGTTCAAGAGTGCGATGATGCCGTTGAAGGTCGGCGCTGCACACGACGTGCCGCGGTACCCCTGGTCGATACCCTGATCGATAACGCGGAAGTTCTGGGACTGCGCTGCGACGTCTGGGAAGCCGCGGCCGGTGGTGTTGAAGTACCCTTTATTCTGATCCCCGATTTTAGCTAGGTAGCCCGACACGGCCTGGTCTTGGTAGGCGGGGCGGGGCCAGATGTTGGAGAAGCCGCCCGAGGAGAAGAAGGTTGCTACTTCGGGCTCGATGTAACGGGTGCCGCCAACGGCTGTCACGTAGGGGCAGGAGGCGGGGAATTGGGGTTGGAATTTCGTGGTGTTCTTGCCGTCGTTGGACAGGCAGAAATCGCCAGTGCCGGAATCGCCGGATGAGAAGAGGATGGATTTCCCGCGTGCGCCGAGCTGCGCGAAGAGCTGGCAGACTTGCGTGGCGTATGCGACGGGGATTTCTTGCTCATTTTCGCCGTAGGAGATGGAGATGCTGTTAGGGATGTCTTTGTTGTCGAGCTTGGTGATTGCGAGCAGGAAGTCGAGGTACGGCTCGTTGGAGTTGTCTGCTGGGGTTGGCGAGTCGCCGTCTACGATCAAAAGACCTCGTCCACCGACGCTGTATTCCTTTACTGGGGTGGGGTAGCTTGTTCCAAGGATATATTGGTTGTCGAGGTTAGCTTCGCCAGAGTCGTCAGATGAGGTTTGATTGTTGCCACCATTCTTGTATTGTATGACCGTAAACTAAAACTGGTGAGTATGTGGGAGTTGGATTTAGGAGTTGCTCACTTACGTTGGTCCCAACGGCATATGGAGCGTAGACCACCTCGAATTCAGCTAAATCGGCGTACCTGGCATATTCTTCCAAGAAGGAAGCATAACCAACAGTGTTTCCATTAGTTGCGTCTGCCTTATAATGGACATTGTACAGATCCAGTAAGCACTCGGGAGTGATAGTAAGATTGCAGGTGGTATTGACTTGAGGAGCGCCTCCTCCGGACCATTTAGATGCCCCATTTGATGCGTGTCCAGCGTCCAAGAGCTGAGCGTAGGAAGAAAGCGGCTTCAAACTCCCAAATCTGGTCGTGGGCTGGACGAAATTGATATGATTCTTGATATTCTCTGGCACCGAGTATTTAAGAGTTCGGAGGATCTCCTGGTTCTCTTCACTACGGTACCATCCGAATTTGGTGTCGAGGAGCGTGTTGGCGGTTTTGACATCAGTTTGAAAGAGGATGTAATCACTATCATCCGTAATCGAGGTGATGTTGTTCTCCTGAAGCCAAGCAATGGCTGCAGAGCTCGTCTCCTTTGTTGGTTCCAAAAGAGAACGGAGTTCATGGCCCTCGTAATGCATTCCGTACTGCTCATGATCAGGAGTCGAGACCTCCATAAGCTTATCGTACAGAGATTCTACATTCTGCTGTTTGAGAGACAGACGAAGCTTGAGAATCTCAGCCCCTTCAGCAGGACGTACAAAAGTCCAGCCGCGGGGAGCTTGGTAGATGGATTCGAAGACAGCTGCTTGCGCGATTGAAGCAAGGGAGAGAATCCGCAGAGCGGAGTTGAGGGAGAACATAATGATAAGGAGGGTTCGTCGCCTGAGAATGAACTGAAGAAAGAAAGCAAAAGAGAGAGCACATGCGCGTTGACAAGGGGAAGAGCTTCTTATATCTACCGATCCTTGTCTGAATAGCTCTACTCTGCCCTTTCCACCACCTCGGCCTTGGCTCATCAACATGGCATGGCATGGATAGAGTAGAGTAGCTGCTGGGTGACTGGGTGGACCTGCTTATCCGGATGCTATCCGACTCTTGATACCTGCTGAATCAGTCATGGTTATGGGGCATGTAAATGTAACAATGGCACAATTTGCAAAGGCAATGAGGGGACGGCGGGCAAGCTTCGTATTAGTGAGGGGTACGAAAGTCAATTGCAGCTGCAGTATCAGGGCATGGTTCGGCCCCTGTCAGCCCAGGCCAGGTCCAGCTTGCGTGTAGCTTTGGAATCCCTGAAATGCATGCTTGTATGCATGCAGAAGGTGTTTAACCGGACCCTTCATTCGGGGGACTGTAGGGCGAGGCTGCAGTAGATACCAGAATTCGGGGAGGGGCAGATTGTTTTTCCTTTGGTGTTGGTGTTGTGAAAGTGTTCCTGCATTTAAAGCTCAGCTTCAGCCTATCAAAAGTGCATAGCGTTGCATGGGGGCCGCTCCCCGAGTATCTTGGCGCCCAGCGCCTGCCTGATATGGCTAGCATCCCGTTGTCTACCGTACGGAGGGGGTACTTGGACATGCCGATCCTCTCTTGATAAACTGTATGCTCTGCAAGAAGCTTTTATCGTTATCTTGGTCAATTAATAGTACGGAGGTAATTGGAACGCTTTCTCATCTCAGAGTGGGGTCCATGGTAGACTTTGTCAAGGAATCGAATCATTGAGGTGTTTATACGCTACCTAGGTAATGGCCTCGAAGTTTCTTTCTTCGTAGCAAGCTATGGTGAGGAAGAAAGGGAGAACGCGGCACATCCAAAACTTGCAGCTTCCCAATCTGTCTGCACCTCTTGTCTTTATACTCATATGGAAGATTCAAAAAATGCTCCCCGTAATTCCGTCTTGGGTTACACAAATCCCTTGGCTCGTATATAAGAATTGACAAATGAAGCAATGCTGGTATATCTATCAATGCATAATTTCCCTTTTGCCTTTCAGGAAAGTCTCGTATCATAGATCTTGGTCCCGGTGATATCCGCGTGACCGTAAAGATGGGCGAGAGCTTTGTTGCACTTCGCACCGCTCGTCATATGATATGTAATAGAAATAGTGATAGGTACAACAGTTGGGTATTTTCCAACATCCTCCAGCACTACGCGACAGAACTCGAGGTTCCTGCCCTGCAAAGGTTGCAAAAGCATCGTGCGAGCGATTTCGATTCCAAGTGACAGCCTCTAAAAGAATATCTCAGAAAAACATCTCATCAGGTTAGTTGACTATATAATTGGTCTATGGTTCTATTCTAATATTACAATTACATTATGCGTGTTCTCATTATCTTTGCCCATACACTGCGCAGGTCCCATCTATGCTTCACTCAACCCCTTCAAAGCACCTTCCAACCACTCTATCATTTCCACCGCTTCATCATCGTCTAAAACCCCAGTCGCCCAACTCAACGATACAGTCATGAACCCGTTCTTCGCTGACGCGATGGAAAATATATAGGGATCTGCATACGTGCACTGCGCCGTCGAGAACTGCACGCGATCAAAACACGCCTTCTCTTCCCCTCCTCCCCCTCCCACCCCACCATCTAGAACCCCAATATTCGTAACCTCAAACGCGTGATCTCTCTTTTTACCCAACTTACCGTAGAAGAACTTGTTATAGTCGGACACGAATTTTAACATCCCAACGTTTTGATCCGATGCCGTTGCCGTGCCTTCATCGATTTCCTTTTTACTTGCTCTTGCCCCTTCCCACAGCTTTCCATCATCTTGCTCAGGTTTGTCGCTAGACATCGAGCGGCAGGATATGTATCCCCAAGGCGGGCGCTCCTGGGATGAAAAGTACGGCGTTAGGTTCGAGACATAACAGCCCATGTCTCGGTTTGAATGCCCCGTGAATTTGCGGAGGGAGAACGGGATATTGCCCGTGAAGTGCGTGTAGGAAGGATACATGACTGCTAGTTTTCTGGCAACTAGAATGGTGAGTAGTGCCGTTATGCTCGTGTTTTCCTTCCGGCAACGCTTCAGCAGGGCACCGACCACGTCTGATGAGAGTGAGAAGCTTCTGAGGTTGTTGATGGGAGGTCGAGGGGCCTCAGCACTAATAAGAGACCCGGACCAATTCAAAGGATCTTCCGTTGACCATACGTAGGTACTGAAGATCTTCTTGAGGGCGAAGAATATTCCAACTGGCAGCGCCGTCTTCATCTCCATATTCGGGATAAGCGGGAGTTTTGGAACTGGGATGACTGCTTCTTCCTCAATATCAGATACACTCTTAATTTTGCCCTCAATCAACTCATTCAGTGCATCCAGGAAAGTAAGTTGGAAAGCGCCCGCCGAAGTCCCATCCGCGATGGCGTGGTGACAAAAGAAACCTACAGCGAACGTCTCGGCATCTTTGCCTGTGCTTTTGCCCCTGGCCACCACAATCCTCCACATCGGCAAGTCATCCACAACCACGAAAGGCGCCCGCAGCGCATCTCGAGTCCACGAATCCCACGACGCCCCCAAGTCCGCGTCCACGACTTTCACGAGTCTGCGAAAGTCCACCGTAGGCAACCTAATCCATTTCGGCTCGATGGCCGCTTCATCTTGCACCGTGACACCCATAATAGGATGCTGGTTCAACACCTCTCGCAGAGCTGCGTAGATGACTTGCTCCAGACTGTTGCTGGCGAGCAGGGAGCGGGCCACGGTGTAGGAGGCCGTGACGCCGAACTTGTTGTAGAATTTCACGTGGTTTCGGAGGATGTTAAACCGTTCCATGTGGCCTGAATCCATCAGTAGGTTTCTTTATCTCTTGAATTTGTTTGGTATTTCAAGATTACCTGTCGGCCGCAAAGGAACCTCCTCCATCTCGCTGCTCATATCAAAATTGAATCTCCGCTCTCCTCGGCTGCTTCCGATATCTTGTTTCAACTTTATTTCCAACGAGAACGAACACCGCAATGTATGTATCTCAGTCGTCGTCGAATTCCGGTTTTATGAAAGAAAGGGGAATCTCTTTTGCGTGGTTTTATAATCCACAAGGGTTTACAGTACCGTACGGAGTACTGCGTATACTGTATTCTCTGCCAAAATTTGCCCGAGCCTGACCGTACGCTTGCGGGTCTGTGCCGTCGGCGAAGCCTGATTTGGAAGCTGCCCCCTGCAGCACGGCGAGTTGTCCAATGAACACGTTTGCAATGCGCTTACTCATCAAGTCTTAGCTCTGGTGGCTTACAGTACGGAATAACTTCCAATGTTATGAGCATGAAATGAACGTGACTTAGATCTAGTAAGCGAACCCCTTTTGCACTAGATGGGGTGGTGTGGCGGGGTTCAAGTAATAAATCGTCCGTGGTCTGAGGTACAGTACTGTACGTACATGGCAAGCAAATATAGGATAACAATCTAATTATAAATAGCTATTAGAGGTTTGCCTTTTAATAAAGAATCTTTAAACTCGAAATTCCCTAATATAAAGCCTTCCATAAACGTTACTTATTGGCGAACCCGTTTCTAGGTATGAACCTTCCTCTTTAAACAAATTTTCAAAGACAAAACATGTTACCAAGTATAGATAGATATCTTAAGAGAAATTAGTTCCAAGCAGCACTGCTTTCAAATCAGAAGCCGGCGAGAGTGTCAGGTCCGAGATATCACGGATAGTGAAGAATTTATTCATAAAACCATCGATGAACATCTGTCTCCAATCGCGATCTAAACCGTTCTTTAACAGGTCACAGGAAGGATCCGTGCTTTGGATCCTGCGACATTATGATTTTATGGGGTAGATGAACAGCTGGGATATCGATCGATCGACCTCGGTTATAGACTTATAATAAGTTGAGGAGGCAAATGGGTTGAATATTTTTCAGTTCGTGGTATTGTGGAATGAAACGAGCTTGGAATTTGAGCCTTGAATCGAAAAGTAGGAAGTCAAGAAGTGCCTCCCCTTTTAAATCTCTAGCGACTTTTACAACCTTATCACTAACTTCTACATTTTGAAAGAATAATCACTTCTGGCACAATAGAGGAAAGAGATATATTACAAAACATTGCAAAATTGATACGGAGATAGTGTATACAATGAAAATCAGAATCTACGACTTGTAACTACAATATCCTAAAGAGAAGCGATATTGACAGTGAATTCCACCCTGCCCTCAACCCCACTTTGGACAAGCTGTTCCCCTTTTTAACCCCCCTTTCAAAACTTTTACAAACCCCCTTTTCAACCCCCCTTCAAACCTTTTTTTCAACCCCCTTTTTCAACCCCCTTTTCAACCCCATTTTTAGCCCCCACCCAAACCCTCCCCAAAAGCAGCACACCCTGCGCATTCAACAAACTTCCGTGAAGATCCACCTGACTCGCCTTTCAAAGTATCAGTGTGACTGGAACCAGTCTGCGATCTCTTCTACCTTCGCGTTCAGATCTATCTTCACCACTGGGCTCCAGAATTCTCGGTATTCAGCCAATTCGGGACGTTGTAACTGTTGGCAGAGTACTACCGCATCTTCCAAATGGGAGGTGCTTCGGAATCTCATCTCGAGTCTCGCCTCTGCGCGTGTTAAAGAACGAAATTCCTCTTCCCTTTGAAGCTGCTGCGTCTGTAATTGTGTTATTATGTGACGGGCGTCCACGTTTCCGTTCACCCCAAAGATTTTCTTCTCTTTCTTTAATTCTTCCACCACGACGGTCTCCAGCCAATCTTGTTCCAAGATATCCAAAGAAGGGTAAGTTCGGATTTTGCATTCCTCTTCTTCCTCTTGTATGAATTCCTCAAGCCTGTAAATAAGCTCATGAAGTCTTGACAGGGCCATAGCCTTAAGATAAGGCGAGGTAGCACTCCAACATATTGGTGAAGAGATAGGAAGGTACCGCAGTCCAGACTTCACATAGTTTATCCGACGATGTGCTTGCTGAATGTATTGCTCCTTCTCTTCACCCACAAGTAACGGGCATTTAAGCATACTCTTGAAGAGAATCTCCACCCCTTCTTGAACCCGACATAGGTAAGCAAATTCTGCCTCGAAGAAAACCAAAGATTCGATAGAAGTGGCACAGGATCCGATATTGACACGATGATCGACCTCGGGACAGCGAGTTTGGAAATACGTGTATGGTGCGTAGGTGAACATGGCAGGATATGGAGTTAACCGCGGCTCTGTAACCTCTTTTAATCCGTTAGCATTTTTATCCACACCTGCATGGCTCGAAAGAAATTTGCAGGGAATATTACCAGAAATTGTCTCCACGAAGGGATCCGTAGGTGGCCATGTTCCAAGAGTCTTTTGAAAGCGACACCATGTATGAGCTCCTTTGAACTCCGCCTTATAGTCAAGTGCCTCGCCACTTTCCAATTCTGAAGATCCTGCTGTAATGCTGCTTGAACGGGATGGAGATGGAAGTGGGAGGCTGTAAGGTTGAGTAGGAATTGCCTTGCCAGTCATGACATTTTGATTTTTGGACTTTGGTATGATGTATTTCCTACACTTCGATGTCGAGCGTGGGCTTATTGAACTCTTGGAGCGGTATGCTTTTGAATAATGGGTTGCTTGACTGTGTTCTTCGACGAGAGTGCTTTGTGAAGGATACTGCGAATTGGAATCCTGAATGCTGCGTGTGCGAACCGACTGGGAAGATGATTTGGACATTGTCAGATAGTTCTGTGGGAAAAGATATACTCATCGTTAGCGGATTGTGATCTGGACTGGCTAGAATATTTGGAGGTATTGGATCATAAATAAAAAGAAAACGTGTTGGTTCTTGGGTACTAAGAGCGGGAAGGCACGAAGGGACCAAGTTCTGCGATCCAATAAACATATTTTCAAACTTGGAGGAACAAGCTAAAAACGTGCAGCACCTAAAGAATTCTTCTGACGTATTCGACAAAGATGAGTGCAAGATATTGAGATTTATATGGTGAAGTGTGGTGTAACCTGGAATTCACGTGATACCGCCCCCTTTTTGATCGCTTTGGTGCAGCTCCACAATTTCCAAATTTATGTTTTGAGGGACGGCATACGCTGAGAAAAGGAGAGAGATACCCTGAAAGTCCTCTCACTAAGATTATTGAACTACTAATGATTTGTTTTGCAAATACAACAACTCCCAACAAATTTACCGTATTAAGCGGTGACAGTGAAGGTGTCCCTGTAATACCCTTGTTTCGGAGATATCCAGGACTAACCTATCCTCAATAACCTACCCAACTTCCTCCAAGCTCCTTCAACCCTTTTTAGCATCTCACCATTCATCGAGACCTGTCCGAAGCGACTCCTACATGTCCATAACTAGCTCTGTGATACGTATGACTCTACATTCTTAGGTGAAAGAAAAAGAGTGTATTGACTAGTTTTGGAGCATAGCCAGACGCCGTCTGGCTAGTGTCCCAAGATATATGTTCTCCGTTCTCTGTCTCTAAGCCGAGCATTGAGAAGGAACATGGCTCTGCTTTGACCTTTACGCTACTAGGCATGGCCTTCATCCACTTTGAGTTCCACTACAGTACTCTACCGAGCGTATCATTCTACGGGCATGGAACATAGTCAAAAGCCATTTAAGCTTAATAAGACCTCTTAGATACACTCTATGTATCTGACAATGGACACAAAACTATAGATCTCCAAGGAATTCTTATTTCAACCTCATCATTTTTGGCCATTGCACGATGAAAATAGTCGCCGCGGGAACGTAGGTCTTGTAATCCGTCAGTGGCTCTCATCTGAAGGAACAAGTCGTAAGACTAGTCGTGAAATTCCATTGACAAGGAGTAAGAATCAGAAAAGGCAAATCCTTAGTGTCGGGATTTTAGGGGTTCGCTTTCTTTCCTCTGATACACTTACACCGACTGCATTTAGATCAATGTTGCTATCTATAACTGGAAAAATTGCACTCCACAGAATTGAACGAAGATTTTAGGACTAGCTTGTTCTGTAGGCTTATGCGTATCTTTTCTAAGAGATATTATGAATTTATAGAATCCAAGACAAAATAATGCAAGCATTGGCTTCTCGCAAGTAATAAGCCCATACAACTTATTAATTGTAGTATAATAGCTGTATATTTACCATTAGGTAGAAGAACTATGGAGAAAACATTGATATTAATGTCCGTGGTGCCTGCAAAGCTTTTAAGGAGGGGTCAAGGTTCAGATTTCCTTGTCCGTACCATATATGACCATTAGCACCACTAGACGTTGTACTGTTTGACTAGAAAACTTCAGTGATTACAATAGACACAAATCATAAGAGATAATAGAATGTGGAAAATATAAATATCGATATAAAGTCATGAAGTCTTTACAAAAGAACCCAAAGCCAGTCTCCGTTATCGCATCATCTTATCTCAAACCCTGCAAAAAAGTACAATCCCACACCACACTGCCCCTCAATTGTGATTTACAGGCTCTTTCATCTCAAATCAACAACCTCACCCTCACCCCCCACCCTCTCACTCCACAACAATAACCATGACCTCCCCAACCAAACTCCGCATCCTCCCCCTCGCAGACTTCAAGCCCGCCGCCTCGTCTCGCGCCTGGGTCTCAATACCAAACCCCAACAACCTCCCCCTCCTCGCAACCGCCACCTCCGACAAAACAGCCCGCGTCTACTCGCTCAAAAACTTCACGCTCCACTCAACCCTCGAAGGCGGACACTCGCGCTCAGTCCGCAGCGTAGCGTGGAAGCCAGCTGCAGGCAGTAATGGCGTGCTGAGTATCGCAACGGGCAGTTTCGATGCCACGATGGGGATATGGCGGCGTTCGGAAGAAGAGGCGTCGGGCGGTGGAGTCGAGGTAGAGATTTCGGAACTGGGAGAGGAGAAGGACGAGGAGGCTGATTGGGAGTTTGCGATTGTGCTCGAGGGACACGATTCCGAGGTTAAGAACGTGGCGTATTCGCCGTCGGGACAGTGGCTTGCGAGCTGTTCGCGGGATAAGAGCGTGTGGATCTGGGAGGATATTGGGGAGGAGGGGGATGATGAGTTTGAGACGATTGCGGTGCTGCAGGAGCATGAGGCGGATGTTAAGTTTGTTTGTTGGAGGAAGGATGATGGGAATGGGGAGGTGCTTGCCAGTGCCAGTTATGATGAGACGATTCGGTTCTGGAAGGGGGATGATGAGGGGGAATGGAGTCAGATTGCGCTGCTAAAGGGGCATGAGGGCATTGTTTGGTGTTTGGATTGGGAGCCGGAAGTCAGCATGAAGATGTTTGCTGTTGAGTCGGATTCAATGAACGAGTATATACAACAGACTCCACGCCTCATATCGTCTTCCTCGGACTGTTCGATACGGATATGGTCAATTGCACCTGCGCCACCTCCTCCAAATCGACCTTCTTACTTCAACACCGGTATCCCTTCTACAATGCGGCCTGGGCCTACCAACGAGACGTGGGAATGTACAGCTACGCTTCCAAAAGCCCACGACTTACCTATATACTCGATTCGCTGGAGTAAAAAGAGTGGGAGAGTGGTATCTACAGGGGGTGATGGCAAGATAGTCATTTACGAAGAGACAAAGAAAGGACGGACCTCAGTAGGCGGAGAAATCGAACGGGAATGGGTAATAATTGGTTCGATAGAAGGAGCGCATGGTCCCTACGAGATAAACCATGTAGCATGGTGTACTCGTTTCGACGCTGGAAGGAAGGAAGAAGGCGAAGAAATGGTCATCTCTACAGGAGACGATGGTGCTGTCAGGGCGTGGGCTATTGAGGATATCGTAGAGAAAGGGGATGGAGCTGTAGATCCAGATGCTATGAACGGCGTCTTGATGGCAGTAAGATGATCATTGATTATGAAAAGAGGTGTATAGTATGGGTCATCTTTGGCATAGCGAGGCGCACAGGTGACAGGGGTCATATATAGATCTGGAACTGGCCTAAAAGGGCATCAAAAGTACCAGGACCTCAACGATATCTAGGAAGATTATGAAATATTGGATATTTGGTTGAGTTGCAGAGTTACCCAGAGACGGCTGGGATCATTGATCAACGGAGAGTTGGAAACATGATCTTTACATTGCAAGCATATAATTGCAATATCAGCGTTTACGGAACGATTCGTGTATAGCCATTGAGTGGATATTAACCCCAGGATCGCTGAAAAGGGGGTTAAACTTTACAATCTTACTAGACATATTTAGACTGCAAGAAATACTTGCATTCTAGGTCTTTGTCAGCTCCCATTTCAAATGCAATGAATGCCACATGCTCGTAAACATATGCTTTTACATTCATCTCCACTGGCATTGTATTACTACTCAAGTAATTGGTTTGTAAATACGCCTGTCGGGTCCCATTCTCTCTTCAGACTTTTCAAGCGAGCAAGCCTCTCGACCCCTCTATACCGCCTCTGAACCGGCCCATCTCTCCCAGGCGGGAAATCTACAAAATCCGCCTCCTTGTCCGCATTACGCATAATGGCGTATGATTTGCTGTTGTACTCGTCGACCTTGTCTCGATTCGCGGCGTCGGTATGCCATATCAAGTTGTTCCTGAACGTGGGTATCAGCTTGTCAAGGAAGCAATAAATACAGTACGGGAGTGGCAGCGTGCTTTACTTACTGGAAATATCGAATGTCGTGAAGGCTCATGGCTGATTCAAAGCCGGGCTTTTTGGCGGGCCTTGAATCCCACTTGAAGTTGAACGATGTATTGATTGCATCCGGACACTCAGCAACCAATTCCTTCCACAGCTCAATCGTCTTGAGAAAGGAATCTTGCTCGAAACAGTGCAGGCCGATGATACCAAAACGTTTGAAATCCCCTTTGGCACCGAGTGCATCTTGGGCATCGTTCGCGTTCTGAATCGGCACCGACGCTCCATTCGCCACAATGGGCTGAAGCTCGTACAACGCCTTGTAAGCTTTCGGCGCCTGTTCCGGATCGCCCGTGTACTTGGTTGCGATAACGAGGCAAGGGTTCCGCGCTGGCGGGGGTGCCATTATCATCATGAGACCAGCTGTTGCGTGGCGGTCGTCGTCCATCAGATGCTTCATGACAGACGTCACTTCCGGGGCACGGCTGAGGGGAAAGACGAAGGCGCCCGCCCAGATGGTACCCAGGTCGTTTCCGAGAGCATGGAGAGGATAGCACTTGATGACAAGCTCTGTGACGAGGCCGAAAAACTGTCCTGCGCCACGAAGGCCATATAGGAGATCCGGATGTGTCTCGTCAGTCACGTTTACAAGCTCTCCTTTGGCGGTTATCAGATGCGCGGAAAGAATTTGATCGGCGCCAAAACCTGTGATGGAAGGTGTTAAAGATGCTCCACCGGCAAGGAAGTAAGGGATGGCGCCCACAGTATTGCCATTTCCTAAAGCTAGAAGCAAAAGAAGTCAATTCTTGCTCTAAAGATGAGATTACATGGGCGTACCGGTAAAGTAACCGGCCTCTGCAAGAGCTGTAGCTACATCTTTGGTGAGGATACTACCCTTGAGCGTCGCCGTGCCAGAGGTTTTATCAACTTCTATTCCCTTGTATAGACTCAGATCAATGATTATACCGTTACTGCCGATAGTAGAGTATTCACTGTGGCCTCCGCTCTTCATCACAAAAGGAACTGAAGATTTCGAAGCCCATTGCACCTGCAATATCCGTTAGCTAGTCTTGAGTAAAAGCCCTTTCCAATTTTCTAGCACCTACAATCTTTTGGCTGTCATATTCTGAGGTTGGAAGCACGATAGCTCCTGGGACCATGAGATCAATATCCGTCCATCGCTTCAGGTATTCGACGAACTTAGCATCGCTGGTATCTGTAAGAATCTGGCAGCCTGGTGTCAAACCCGCCTTCAAATTTTGAAGCTGGGAGATCTTGGACATTTTGCGGGTGCTTGGGCTTGTTGGGAGAGATGATTAGATGGAGGTGGTAATAAAAGTCACGGTATTATACCGACATACCGTACGTAAGATTACAATTGTACGTACGAGACTATACCTCAGTAAGCACTAGTAGCTTTGCATTGCCTAGTTAGTTTTCTAGAAGCAAATACTTTTGAGATTCCGCTTGCATCTCTCAATAGATATTGATGCTATTTGGATAGTCTCTTCGGGCCGTTATTCGTAAACTTCGGGTATCGGATCAGGTTGAACAACGGGTACCGAGCCGATCTGGTAGCCAGAATAGACCTACCTAGGTACCTACAGTATGGAGTCCGCTTTCTAGCCCCGCTTAAATGCTATTTTTTGAAACGCTACGGAGTAGATAAATCCTAGGTACGGAGTATAATGCTGTACTACTCCGTAATTCTCTCAAGAGTCAGGCGGGCTTGTGTTTGCACCAAAAGCGCTATACACTATTTACGAGTACCTTAGTCCTGTCCTACGAGTTTTAGCACTTATAAAATATTCATTCCCTCCATCTTACACCCCACTCTCCCTTGGCAAAACTGCTCTCCACAACCTTTCCCTGCATAACCGCCTCACATAGCCTTCGCTCTTCGCCCACTCCAGTTAAAAAGCCAAACGCCACCCCTCTCCGAGCAGCACACCTGACTAGCTCCCTCTCATCCGCCTTCCGCTGACCTTCCCGTCGTTTAGCGAGCATATCATCTGTCTCCGAAATCCTTTCCTTGACCCCCTTTTCGCCGCCAATACCACCATTTACTTCGGACACTCCTTGCGGTGGCCGGATGCGCGTTCCAGAACGGATGGAAAGCCTTGCTATTACGTCTGCGTCGACAGAGGTCTCAATGGGGGCACTGTCTGTGCTGATTGGTGCCCCGCCATCCTCTATATCTTGCCCGTCACTTGTCCGGTCCTCCTCATCTGTCTCTTCAAGCCCTATTCTCGTCTGACCTGCCACATGAACACCATCCGTCGTGTCATCTCCCATGCGGTCAGGCTTGTTACTCTCAGGACCTTCTTCATCACTGACCATATCAACACTCCTCCACACCCCATCCTTAACCCCTCTCCTCGCTCTATTTTTCCTTCTGCCAAAGCGCTTCTCCGGATCTTTTCTATCCCCAAACACCACACTCTCGACGTCGCTACATTGCACTAAAATCCTATTCTCCCCCTTTTTCTTCCTCTTGACCGTTTTTGCCGAGGGTCCACCCTTATAAGGCGGAGTTTCCCTCTCCAGTGTGGTATTTTCTACCGCAACAGGCAGTTCTCCGTTTAGTAACGATGCAAAGGTATCTTCGATTCTCCGTTGCAGGCCTTTATCGACGCGCGCTCCACGACAACGAGCAGAGCAGTATTTTGCTGGGGTTGCTGAACTAGACGCAGCTTGTTTTTTGCGGTCGCCTAGTAGGAATGTCAGATGATTGCTTGCTTATTTGAAATGAAAGTATGTGTGTAATATTGTATTTGTGTTTATTTTAGTTGAACGAACAAACACGACCTACCTATCACACGGCCACATGACTTGCAATATTGGACTTTGTCGCCACCGGGCAGTAGGTAATAGGGGGGTGGTGTTGCCTGTGATTTCGATGGACGAGACCATGAGTCCATCCAGGACATTTCGGAGGTCTTGAGGATGTGTTTGTGGTGTTTGGTATCCGAAGGTTGTTTGAGACCTATTATTGAGTGAGTGTTAGGTTAGGAATTGAGTCTCGAATCAACTACGTCATAGTGCAATTACACCCCAAGGTTCGGAAAGCTTGACTGACCACGACGAAGATTCAGCAGATGCCTGAATACAGATTGAGAAAAGTCGAAAGTTGTGGTACGTATTAATCGATGGCCGAGGTTGAACATTTAGTATTGAACATGAGGAAAGAAAACCCCCCCCTCTCTTTGTACGCCTATTCCCCTGTAGTCGCTAAATAGCCCAATGAGCAGGTAATACAAGCCCCTCCCCTGCCTTACTGGATTTTGCTAAGATATTTTTTACTATTATTTGACCACTAGATGACTGCAGTCCATCTCACTAGATTTGTATGAGAAATCTTTATCGAGGCAGTTTCTACGGCTAGGATACATATGAACCTTCCCATCCCGGCATCTTAAATAACCGGGGAGTCCTACCTAGTAACCTAGGAGGAAGCTTTCACCAGCCCAGCCGGCAGTTGGCAAGCAAGCCTAGGTATCCCGGTATTGCTTGTCACGAGGTGTATATATACATATATACTATAAAACGAAGCATTTTCCACCAAGTACTATAGATATACAACAGAAATCCTGTTTTTTTGTCTTTTTTCCCCCTGCTTCTTTTATTCTTTAATTCCATCTAGCAATAATCGGATCGTCCTTCTTCCCTCTCATCATATACGAATAATAAAAATTCACCTCAAGAAGTTCCTGTCCCGCTACAACACGGCTGAGACCATCCATCCATCCCGTTCCGTGCGAACCCAAAAACGCCACGGATGGAACGTCCCGGTGCGACACGCAACAAAGCCCTCTTTTCCATTCCCATTTCCTGTTTTTGATACGGCGCCTCTCAACGCGATTCATGATTCGGATTGATTGCGGGATGCTGTGTGGATAACATAAAACTCAGAATCGGATGCTCCCGGTAAGCGGGTGGTTTATTCCGTTGCGATGTGCAACAGAAGTTGTAGAATGGCATAGGGGAGTATGTACCTAGGGAAGTACCGGTATGGGGTATATTGTTTTGGTGTCTATAGGTGGGTAGGCGATGAAGGTTGAGGAATGGCAAGGGAGGGAGGGCAAGGAGGACCCTTTAGCCTTTCGTTTTCATTTATTGCCTAGAAGGGGAACTGCAAACTTGAGCACGTCAATCGGCCCTTTTTGCATGACCTAGACTGGGTGCGATTTGGCCTTGAGTTATCAGGAAACGTTCAGCGGGGTAGATTCTACAGATCATGCTGCCTGCTCTTACTCAGGCCATTGAGGATAGTGCCAGCTTGAACAAACTAGCTGTGAGCATTTGACTTGAATGTTTTGAAAGCTCATATAAAGCTCATCTCGCAGAGCAGCCATACTTCACTTCCCGCCGCGAAATTCGCAGCGTGGCCAAAATCTTTGTTTTCATTTGAATCGAGCGTGTGATAGCTATTAACCAATGCTCCTTTGTATCATATATCGTGTCCTTCTCTTAATTCATAATCGACCTACCACATGCATTTCGCAAACCCTCACAAAATACCCGGAATAATCGCCGCCTTCCCCGCAACCTTTTCCTTCCCAAACCTCTCCACATACCACTGCTTCCCCTGCACAGCCCTTGGCAACATCGTCGCGATCTCATTCAGCAGAAAGTTCCTGGCTGGCACACACGCACTCCCTCCCATGATCCAGAACCCAGTCCACTCAATCCACTCACACAGATAATGCGGATACAGAATATACTCAAACCCGCCATTCCGCGGAATCATATACACCTTGTCGACCCCCTTCCCTTTCCCCTCGCCCTTCTCCCCTGCTCTCTGCTCGGCGTTCCTCTTCGCCGCCCTGCGGATCTCACGCAGTTCGTCATCATGCCAAATGTTGGTCAAGAAGCCCAAAGCCCATATCATCATACCGAGCTCCATGCGACCCCCAGCTACATAGTCGGATTTGAAATTCGCCCATGCTGCGCGGGACGTGGGACCGTGGCCGCCGAGGTAGCCGCCGATGCTGAGGCCGTTGGTTACTTGGAAGATGATGGCGAAGAGCCAAACGATGGGGTGGATGGGGGATAATGAGGGGGCGAGAAAGGGGCAGAGGATGGCGCGGTAGAGGTAGTGGATTACCTGTTTTCGGATTAGTGAATGTATCTTCATCTCATTTTGAGTCTCATCTCAAGGAGGCGTACAAAGAGACCACCCATAGCTTTATTCTCCCATGGTAATCCTAACAATCCGAGTTGGTTGGGCAGGGTGTACATAATGTAGAGCACGATCAGAAACCCAGGCACCTCCATCGTAAGCCATGCGATCTTCCCCGGGATATTAAATCTGCTCTGTGTAGAGGTCTTGCCCATGCCATACCACGAAATCGGCCATTGGATGAGTGTGAGCTATACGTATATTAGCATGAATGTCTCATTGAGGTGAGGGTTTGGATTTGTACGTACAATTGGGAAGTATTGGAACAAGTAAACAACCCATTCCCAATGCTCGCGTGAAGGCGGCATCCAATTTTCTATGAGAGCCATATCTTTTATGGTGCGATTGTAGAAGGTGAGGAAGGAAGGGAGGACATCTCGTCGGGTGTTTTAGAAGGTTGCAATAACAGTAACGTCACTGTTTTAGATACGACTTCTCCGCATCAAACATATATGGAGAATGGAAGAAGAATCTGAGTATCTTCACCGTTCTGCCTAACGATGCGCTTGCGTTCCAACTATGCAGACAAGGAAATATTGGAGGGTTAAGACTGTTGTTTGATAGGCACGAGGCGTCGCCATATGTTGCGAATGAAAATGGGCAGACATTGCTGCACGTAAGTTTCGACAAAGGAAGTTGGTCGAACTGCTCTGACGGGATTTGAACTTAGGTTGCGGCAAAATACCTGCATTTTGACATATGTCAGATGCTGTGGGCTGTCCTGAAGGATAGTGCTTTCCAAGAAGACTTCTATGGGTATTCCACACCCTTGCCTAGTATGCAACTCTACAGAGGCTGACCATGAATACAAAACACAGAGAAATTATAATGATTATTGCTTCTGGCATGCATCATGGTTCTAGAGTTGCTCTTAAACCACCAGCCAAATCTCTCATTGCAATAATTCGCCTCTTCCTCACCTCAGGGAATATTCATGACCCCTCTGACTATTGTTGGTCTCTCCTCTGCCGAGTGGTTACTAATAGTCCGCTCGGTCTAGGCCCGGCAGACCATACTTATTACGAAGTCTACGCCTGGCTGCTCGGGTACCTAGCACCAGCACTAGCAAATCCGGCAACATATTTTAACGATACAACCTTCTACGTGCTGGATTTTGCTGCAAGTGCAACTACGCGAGCGGGTTCGATTAGTCACTTGAAATTTGCGCTTGATAATTGTGGAAATAAGGTCCATACTGTACTGAAACCAGGACACTTTACATTTTTGCACAAGGCAATACTGGAACATGATTTTGAGCAGGCGACTTTGCTACAGAGACGAGGAGCTGATGTGCATGTGGTTGGGAGGCAGATTGAACTGAGTTCTATTGAGGAAACGCCTACTTCGCTGGCTATGTATAATTTTGAGGACTTTGGAAAATGGAGAAAGGTGTTGTCTGCTGGTGGGTATGCCTTGAATGAATTTGTTAAGAATGAGCTGGCTCTAGGCCCACTTGGGAGGATTGGATGGAAAGAAGAAACACTTGTCCGGTTGTTTGAGATCAACAAAAGCGCCAAAGAAGATGGATGGCTTAAAAAACGTGTCGATATCCACGAGTGTCCCCGGTGCAGCGAGTGTTCTTGCTCTGATGCTCACAACCCCATGATCGTGGATGTGCAGTGGCAACTACTCCTCAAGAAGATCAAAGGGGGTGAGAGCTACGACGACGATGTGTCTGGACTTGGTGAAAGGTCGTGCGGTATACCTGCATCACAGCCACTTGGTTTGGCCATCACTGAATACGGTTGGGTATGCTTGAAATGTTGGCATGGAGCTGGTTGTTTGAGTGCACGGATGGCTGGAGAGAGTGATAGACTAGATATGGAAACGTTTGGTGTAGTTGACAAGCATGAGAAAGAGGTCGAGGATGACGAGGACTCTCCATTTCTTTTGAGTTTTTGAATACCCCATTTTGCTTCATCTGTCTATTTACTCGAGCGTACAAGATCATTGACTTAGTTAAGTAATAGATAGTGGAATAGATACTGAATCGTGGTCGTAACTTTTGAGAAGAAAAAAAGGAAAATACAATTGGGAAAAAAAGGTCGAAACCCATAGGAATGAAGCTCATTAACAACGCAGTATGGCAGATTGAAAATGCAAAAGAAGGTCATAATAAATTTATCATACAACTAAAACCTAGACTCGACCTTTTGCTCAACATCACCCAAAGCCCAAGCACTAGCCTTCGTCTTACTCCTCACACTGGTAGCCTGCGCATTTGTGAAACCCTTCGCCTCAACAGCAGGATTATAGCCCAGCTTATTCCGCTTGCCAACGTCCGTTGAGCTAACTTCCTGGGCAGCCTTGCCATCAGGCCTCGTGTAAACAGTGACGACAACAGCACCACCAAGACCAAGATTGTGTTGCAAAGCAACCTTTGTGTCTTTGGTCAGACGGTTATTCGCCCAGCCTCTGAGATGCCATACAAGCTCGGCACATTGAGCGATGCCGGAGGCTCCGAGAGGGTGGCCCTTCGAAATCAAACCGCCAGACGGGTTGACGACCGTTTTGCCGCCGTATGTGAGGTTCCCTTCGCGGACGTACTCATGAGCTTTCCCCGGTGCGCTGAGACCGAGGGCGTCAAGGACAATCATCTCATTTGAGGAGAAACAATCATGTAACTCAACAACTCTGACATCCTGTGGTACTAAGCCAGCTTCCGTCAATGCTGTCTTTGCAGCGTATTTAGTCATCTCAAAACCCATCAAGTCAATGGCAGACTTGGAGAAGAGACTGGGGGCGTCGGTGGCCATACATTGGCCTGCAATGAGGATGGCTTGGTCTTTGAGATGTGGGCGAGCGTCGAGAAAATCTTGTGAAACGAGGACAGCAGCTGCTCCTCCATCCGAGGTGGGACAGCATTGCAGCTTGGTGAGGGGTTCGTGGATCATGGGTGACTTCATGATTTGATCATGGGTATATACTTGTTGGAATTGGGAGTATGGGTTTCGTTGGGAGTGCTCGTGGTTTACGCGGGCGATTTCTGCAAAGTCCTCTGCTTTGGCACCGTACCTAGAGACCGGTTGTTAGAGAGAGGTTGTACCTTAGCAAGATGTGGCACGTACTTCTCCATATACTCTCGACCAGCGTTTCCAAACATTTGAGCTGCGCCAGGAGCATTGGTGATGCCCCGAGTCTCCTTCATTATTTGCGAGCTTGTGCCAGTAGGATTGGCCCTGTCGTTGAAGTAGGCTTGTAGACTGCCGGGAGACATCTTCTCAAAGCCAACCACCAGGACACAATCAGCAGCGCCATGGCTGATAAGATTTCGAGCCATGGCCAAGCCTGTCGACCCGGTGGAGCAGTTGTTGTTGACGTTATAAATGGGGATTTTGGTCATGCCAAACTGGTAAAAGACTCGCTGTCCGCAGGTGGAATCTCCGTAGCAGTAACATGCTACTCCTTGGTCAACATCGTCGTAGTTGATTTGGGCATCGAGCATAGCCTTGACACCTGCCTCAAAACCAAGCTCGGTGTAGTCGACCTTTCCCCTTGGCTTAATGAACTTGGTCATTCCCACGCCGAGGACGTAGCATGGCTCGCTGCGTTTGATAACCATTGTTGCGGTTGGTAATTAAGATAAGACGAGCTGGGTATTGTATTGTATCTTACTTATCCTGGTGGAACGAAAGCAGTTAAAGAGTTCATCAATCATGCAGAAAAGACATTGGTTGCAGGTATATAAAAATATAAGTCTTGGAAAAGGTGGTAAAGTACTAGGAAGGAAGCTCTGGCTCTCCACATGGCAGTTGGCTCGGCGTCGGGTCGGCAGACGGATGTTGGGGGAATCGCGGGGTAGCACTACCGAGGTATAGCGGCTAACCCTAAATGGAATGCCGGCTGAGCCAATGATATGACGGGACAAAGCATGACTGATTAGCATCATTTAAGGTATCCTCGGAGGCTCTGCTTCCTGCATCAAAAGTTTCGAGCATCCAACCTCATTAACCTTCTTCGCGCTCGAACTTTAACTCTCGCCTTCCAAGCTGGAATATATGGACTCGATACAATTTTAGTCTAAGGCTCTACGGAGCGGAAGAAAGGGCAGACTAAACTTCCTTGCCAGGTCCTGCTCGAAATGTTGGAAGGCAGATTCTTGCCTTCATGTTCTATAACCATGAGTAGGCCACAGTCTCCAGACCTCGATTCGAATCGAGAGACTGGACATGCAGCCTTATTGCTAAAGTACCTTCGTAGACTCTTGCTAATGCCTCAGTCACGATGGGAACGAAATTCGTCTACTTTGAATACTTGCTTCATCACGGATACTCACCCCGGGTCTACTTCGAGGCTCCAGCAGCACACGAGGGTCCATCACAGAGGACAAATCTCCATCCTGCAAGCAATGCAAATTTTCGAGCGTCCGATTAGACGTCCTACCATACAAGGCCCTTACACTTATGATGCAATGGATCTACGACAGGAGATACACATACATAGATGGACAATCTTTTGAGGTCCAGCAAAATCTTTCCCTTGCAACCGAACATCTAGCAAATATTGGCGGACCAGTGACTATATGGATTGGTGCCATATGTATTGACCAGGGGAATGTTGAAGAACGCAACCATCAAGTCGGCATCATGCGAAAATGTACGGACGGGCAATACAAATGATTAACTGCCCAGGCCTAGCCTTTGAAGACAGCTAGCTTGCTTTTCGGCTCATGAAAACCATACAGGAGTGTTGCGATTCCGAGTATTGTATTTTTGACCCTTGCTTCATGCACTTGGAGACCTGTGTCTGAGGTCCTAATGGTCTCGCACACTACAAGAATTTGAGGCTTGGTGAGGGGCCTTTCGCAGAGAAGCAACAGGTGGGGAGAAAGGGCATGGTGTGGATGGAACTCTACCCTTGGCAATGCCATGAATCTAATAAGTAGCCAGCAAATCCAAGCGCTCCGCAAAGTTACGCATTCAAGACGTGAACCAATACAATTGTTCCTCCGTACTAAATCACTCCCAACCAATTTAACAGAAGATTCCCTATTGTATCTAATAACCCGTTGTATGTATCATCGCAATCATACTGCGCCATATCCACATTCATCATCCCCATTGATCACCCCCTCACAACCCCCTCCATTCTTCCCCCTTCAAGCAGCAGCAATAATTTCATGCTCTTTCTCACTTCCAATCTTCGCCGCAGGAACAATAATTTCAGGCTCTTTCTCGCTCTCAATCTTTGCCGCAGGAACAATAATTTCAGGCTCTTTCTCGCTCTCAATCTTCGCCGCAGGAATAATAAGTTCAGGCTCTTTCTCGCTCTCAATCTTCGCCGCAGCAGGCTTAGGAGTCCGCTCCTTGTATACCGTCAGAACCCCATCCGCCTTCCCCCAGTAAACCGTCTTGCCCGTCTTCTTGATCTTCTCGTACACCGTATCGTAGTCGAGGTTTGGCTCAGCTGTTACGAGCGCCTTTTCATCCCCGAGGTTTACGTCGTAGCTCTTGACGCCTGTTGTTGATATAGTGCGTTAGTGATCACGGTCGGGCTGCAAAATGGGAGTGGGAGTGAAAGTGAATGACGGCTGGGAGAAGAGAGGGGGAGGAGAGAGACAAACCAGAGAGTTTTCCTAGGACACGGTTTACGGCGCCGGAGCAGCCACTGCAGCTCATGCCAATGTCGAATCTGTACGTGTGCTCGGACAGCTCCTCTGGTGTTGTTTCTGGCACCTCGGTGTGGGATGTTTCTGGCATCTCGGATTTGTACGTGTGCTCGGACAGCTCCTTCGGTGTTGTTTCTGGCACCTCGGTGTGGGATGTTTCTGGCATCTCGCTTTGGATTATTGCGGACATCTTGCTCTAGTTTGTTTTGTTGTTCTGCTGGTGGTAGGTTGAGATTGAGATTGAGAGAATGATGCGCCTGGCGGGGTAGATTTTCTTATCGCGATACAGTAGCGTCAGCGCCGTCGGGAATTCAAATTGGAGTTGTGGTTCCGTGGGAAGTTAGAAAAGGAGATGGAATGGAAAGTTTGAATTCGTTATTTTAGGGAGAGAGAAAAAAGAAGAGGAAGAGGGGAAGTGAATACGCGTGGCGGAAAAAGAAGAGGCTATTTGTAGTAGTGAGAAACGTGTTACGAATTCGTGCTCGGTCAGCTTCTCTCGTCTCATCATCGTCGCTTCCGTTTCGAGGCTAGGCCTGAAACTTGCTCACGACACCGGGATGACACCATCTCTTCGGGATTGATCGATGCAGAGGGGAGGGAAGAACGCATTTGGCACTGTTACAGTAGGAGCACGGAAGGAAGGATGGGACTGATGTGATGGGATTGTCAGAGGAGGAGGGAGGGGCGGGGGGCGTGTCACGTGTGACGATGTGCTTGCTTGAGCTTTTTGTTACGCTGCGTTTCAAGGAGGTGGGATGTCGGTGCTTGCTTGCGAGTTGATCTGATCTGATATGCTGATTTAGATATGTTCGTCTGGAAAGTTTCGGGACTATTGCATTTGGGATTGTTCTGTCTTGTATGTGATGGCCTTGATCCGTCGCATGCCACCACCTTCAGTGAGCTGAATGGCTAGGGAGAGAAGAGTTGATTGCGTTCGTTACTCTCGGAAACGCTTTCTCTTGTCCTGTGGAACCCAGTGGTTAGCCTCAATCCCATCTCTGGCAACTTCACTCTATTTGACTTGTCGTGGCAAGAAAAATGAAACCTCAGAGGCTCGCACAAAACCCGGATTTAAACCACCGAAGTATCTTCTTCCGTCTCATCAGCCTAAATGATTCCGCTTGATTGGTTTCATAACAATCGCATAACTCCTATATCTAAAGCAGCAAGAAAACTGCTATCATACCATAGTAATATGCTGAATCTAGTGGAAATGCCCATGACAAATCGAAGACCATATAACCTTGAACGCCAAAATCCGAATGAACGATTGAACTCTATATTCAAACTTCCTCTCCTACCATCTAATCTCCTTTCCTAACAATCCCTGCTGGAACCAACTTTGACGTTGTAGCGACTTTTGTAGCCAGACTCTCAATACTCCCGCCACTTAGTACGTCAAATAAGCTGATTTCTGCTTTGGTGTGTATCAATATCCAAGTCCGGAAATCGACAGCCATAAGTGAACCAACTCCATAAGTGTGCAGTGGTTTTCCGCTATCGATGTTCTCAGGAGATGTCTCCAATTATTTTTCAAGTCGTGCGCACAAAACAATGCTGATCAATTTCGATGCTTCTTGCAAAGAAACACAGTGAGCCAGTTGAGATGAAGCGTCAACTTCCCCAGAGGAATCTCCACCTTCTCCTCTTTGATCATCTGTCAGGCTGTCTAGGCCCGTTTTTTTCAAACCCGAGGATCGTGGGTCGTCGTAGTAAAACGGATCTTCTAGTCCTCCCATCCGTAGTATCCCTCCCGTTGGGAGCCCGGTGATAAGCTGAGCTGGCGTCTCACTTTGCCCATACGATCCAAAGATGGCAGCCTTCACAATCGCATGGAAATCATCTTCGTACAGTCCCACTGCTTCTGATTTTCTCAAGTTCGTGGAGCCACCTCTCCGGGCTATCAAGCCAGTACCTAGCATCAAACCAAGGTCGATACTGACTGCAGGCAACCCTTTCTTTCGGCGATGCCGAGCCAGTGCATCTTGGAATGTGTTTCCGGCCGCGTAATTTGCCTGGCTTCGATTACCAACTACGCCTGATATCGAACTCAACATCACAAAAAAGTCCATGTCCTCAGGGAGGAGGTTGTGAAGAATTCTCGTTCCTTGTATCTTTGGCCGGATTGCGCCTAGCCACATTTCGTGTGTCATGTCGTACACCGAGTCGTTCAGAACCGCAGCACTTTGGATAATACCCCTGATTGGAGGTATGTCCAGTGCGCATTGTTGGAGGACGTCTTCTAGAGCTCTTTTACCTGAGATGTCATAAGCGTAGCTCTTAGCAACCATATTAGACGCCGCAAGGATCTGCATCAACTTCTAGGCATCTGTAGATTTGGCTTCAGAACGAGAGAATAAGACAATATGTCTCGCCCCATTTTCGACTAGGAGATGTGTCAAGCTTTGACCCAATCCCCGAGACCACCAGCAATAACATATGTTGACATTTATCGAGGTTCATTGGCTTTCTTGCATTTGGTGTGATTGGAACTTGGTCCTTGTTGTTGAACGAGAAAACTGTTTTGCTGACATTGCCGTGGTTCTGGAGAAACTCGAAACCCATCCCGATATTGTTGGCTGGAAACACAGTCTTGGAAGTCACGGAGTATATCCCAAACTTGGCAAGAGTTGATGCAGCACCCTGTACAACCTCTGCCATAAGAGAAGGATTTTCTTGCAGGAGCGATTCCAGATTTACGACAAAAAATGATGCGCCTCTCCGGAATGGGGCGATATCCAAAGCAGCGTTGTTGGAGCTGACTGATCTGCTCGCATCAATGAACACCCCTGATGGCGCAGTAAGTAACCAAAGGCTAAAAATGCTTCGTCTGTCCCGGAATTATTCAAAATTACATCAAATCCTCCTCCTTGAGTCAGTCTCTTAACATCTGCAACGAACTCTTCGCTGCCGTCGCTAAAGATGCGAGATCGCGGAACGAGCCAACTGTCCACAATAAGACATTCTTCTACCCAGCACCATTGCCAGTTGAATGGAGGCTTGACCAGTAGCGCTGGCAGCTGCCTGGACGAGGACCGTTTGCCCAGCTTTTAAATTTGCAACTCGAACAAGAGTTTGGTATGCAGTGCCGAAGGTATTGGGCCAACAACTTGCATCTTCAAATGAGACTTGGGGTGGAATTTGACAACACAAAGCCTCTTCTACTCTAAATATTGTGGAATATCGACCAGTCGTAGGTGCGCACACACGATCGCCGGGCTGAATTCGTGTACATTTCTTTCCAACGCGTGTTACGAAGCCACTGAACTCTTTAGATGAAAGTTCGTGATCTTGATCTCCGATGGCTATATCTTGCGCACTATTTTGATTTGTTAGTCATGATGGTAAATGGGCGTAAAGATAATCTCCACTCACTTCAAATAGACAATAGGGAGAGACCTTTCAACGTTGCAATTTTCCTCAATTGCGTTATGCTATTCTCACCTTCCGAAGAAATCGGAAGCCATATCGGAAGGAAGTCGAAGAAATGGAAAGGAAACACGCTGCATTTCTCGAAGGTCGTGCATTTGAATCACCTGCTCCAGACAGCAGAGAAAGAGAAAGCAGTGGATCGCCTTACAAAAGCATAGATGGGTTTTCAGCGGCTTCCATTCCAGCCAAGATCTCACTTCCTACGCTTCATGTCATGGGTACCGAAGATCAATTTGTGGAATACTCGGAGGCGTTGGTCAAGCTGTGCCAGCCAAATAAGGCAGAAACTTTAGCATTCAAAGCAGGCCATGAGGTTCCACGGAGTAAGGCATTCCTTCAGAAATATGGGGATATATTTGAAATTGTTGTGATGATGGCAAGTTTGTCAACTTGATTGGCGGCTAAAATTAGCATTCAATCTTTATTAGTATATAAAATCATCGCTGTGGAAGTGGCTTTTGGACCGCGTGATACACGGAAAATAAGGGTGGCTTAGTCATGCATAAGTATATATCATCGTAGCATCCGTAGATCCTTACAAAATCCAGTCTTCACCTTAAATCGAAATAACTTTGTCCTCATCGCTCAACTCAATGTCTTATCAGAGAAGTAAAGAGGGGTAATCGTTTAAAGTATAGAGCACTCTGGAATTTAGGCGAAGTCAGGGGCATGTCCTGATAATTCGCCGACTATTCTCTTTGTTACGTTAGTATGCTTGGTTTTCTATTACGTTTTGCATCGTGTTTGTTTTCAAAAGTAACTCTGCCGGAGGGAGTGGGGGGGCGGGGAATACTTGGACTACCACTCTTATAGGGAGGGGGGCCGCGATTAAATGGGTTCTCTTAAGTTAACTTGAACAAAAGATAAGTTAACTTGTACGCTAGCCCGCGGTCCGCTTAGGAATGATATAGTAAAGTATAAAATGCATAAGTAGACGCACATGCAAGTTAATGCGACAAGTGGCTAACGATCCCACTTATGAAAATAGCGAAATCTAATCACTTGTAGTAAAGATATCGCGTATTTATTACCATTCTCAACTTCTCATCTACGGTCGTTCATATGGCATTCCTATATAAATAAACTTTATACTTGACCCCGCAGATGTTAATATAAGTGTCAGATATTAAGCTTTTAGCGTTGCAAATCTGTAAATCGAAATGCTCAGAATCTATTAATAGTTCGTAATAAAATAGCAGATAAGATACAAAATATATATCTCTACATATGTTTTCATGCCTACGAGTACCTCGTCCGGTACCTCGGCAAGTCAACTTATACGTCCGTGCTTTGTACAATTCGTAATCCCTTCATGATCAAGTTAGCGTAAGTCTTCCTAGCCGATTACGAAATAATTGTACCCATTATATAATCGGGGCTTGCCGAATACTCACGGACCAGAGATCCATAGACATCCACTTTTTACACTTATACCACGGCAGAGGGTTAGTCCGATGTGTCTGCCCCCCTTTACTAGCCGAAGGATTCATAACCTACGGAGATAAGCAAGCATCTCGACTTTACTACAACTACTGTGCAACTCAATTTCGCAAGATTATCCTCACCGCTTGTGGATCTCCATGCAGTACAGTATAGATCTACCGATCTACCCAGTAATAATTGCATTCCATTGCTTGCAGGTTCGTGCAATACTCTCCACCCCCCTTAATAAATGTTACGAAGTACATTATAGGTTGAGCTTACAGCTGAACCAGTGTAGCTAGAAGTTCAGCCAGTGTAGAGTCCCCACTTTCGCTAAAGCTTAGCCAGTGTAGAGAAGCACAGATATTTATTCGGATATCGATTTCTACACTGGCCGAACTTTCAGCTACACTGATTTAGCTGAAAACCGATTATAGGTTTGCTCCATAAAACGTGGGATCCTATAGAACTAAATAGCTAGATGCCCTGCCCTGGCAAGTGGCTCGCTATTCACGGCGCAGGGTGCTTGTAAAGTCCTTATAAGGTCCCACTAGGCCCTGGATGTAGTGATATCATTTGCTCAATTCCCCTGTATACATCGTGGGGCGAAGGATCATGAACATTTATTAAAAGGGGAGGGGGAGGGGAGTAATGCCCAGCATGATAAGTTCTGCAGGGTCGATCTTGATAACTCCGTGCATCGCTGAGAGGTCATGTCGTGGTAAATAATGCCACAGTATGCGGGGCAGTTTCGTAGGTTTTATCCGCCTTGAGCTCTGATAGAAGTTCAGCTTCAAACTGGACGGTTCACGCGGTTGGTGTTATTGGCGCTCTCGGTAAACACGGCAGCAGTATCACAGTTACATCTACACTGTGGCATTTGACCGAAATTTACAGGATCTATCTATCCCGAAAGAGGTGGAAGTCCTTCAATAAAATCGGCTAATTTGTTAGGTCATGACCTCGGAAGCTTTTCTTTCCTCGACGCTTATAATTGGAATCGATATTCCCCTTCTGAGCTACCGCAATACTCACCTTACAGGTCCTCATACTTGAAATATGGCATCAACTACTGTCCTACCACATAGCAACCAGCTTCTGTCAACGATATTCGAAACCCGAGCAAAGCTAGATCCAAATGGCGTATTCGAAAAATTCCCGGTGTCATCCACGAGTTACGAAGCTGGTTTCCAGTCAATTACTCACTTACAGGCATTGAACGCCATTAACTATGTAGCATGGGCTCTCGAAAAGGCATTTGGCAAAAGCCATAATTTTGAGACGATTGCGTACCTTGGTCCAAACGATCCTCGCTACCATCTTGTTCTTATTGCGGCTATTAAAGTAGGATATAAGGTTAATCAGCTCTTCCTATTCCTCGCTACAGTACTTTCTAACGCTCAGTTATAGACATTCTTGCCGTCACCTAGAAATTCCAAGGCAGCGCATATTTCACTCTTGACTCGACTTGAGTGCACCAAGCTCGTGTGCTCAAACGTGGAAGTGCCAGCTATCCCACAGATATTAGAGGACTATAAAATGCAGAAGTTGCATATTCCGTCGTTGCAAGAACTGATTGGTTATCAAAATGTCGAAAACTGTCCGTATGAAAAGACATTCGAAGAGGAGAGAAACAACCCGATATTCGTGTTACACACTTCTGGTTCTACTGGTAATTAAAACGATTCCAGTTTTTGACTTTTGTAACATATTCTAGGTTTTCCTAAACCACTTATATACACCAATGAATTCGTCACTCGCATCGTCAATCTTGGCTTGTTGCCACCTCCAGAAGGCTTTGATGTTTTAGATGCACATTATCGTTCAGGGAGCTTTTACATTTCCCTTCCATCGTTTCACGTGAGTTCATAATCAATAGTCTTGATTTCATGGGGGTTTGTTTCATTAACACAACCAATAGATTGCTGGGATAGGCTTTTCTCTTGTTTTCCCGGCATTCTTTGGCTGTATCCCCGTATTCCCATTGCCCAGTGGACCTCCAACCATAGAATCGTTTATTGGGGCCGTTAAGCATGGTGATTTCGACTGGGCATTTCTACCACCAGTTGTGATCGATGATTTGAGTAGGGATCCTTCTTCACTGGAACTTGTTGCGTCAAAACTCAAATATCTTTACTATGTCGGTGGAAGTCTACCACAAGCTGCGGGCGACCTTGTGTGTAAGAAGGTACCGGTGCATCAAGCACTAGGATCTAGCGAATGCTCCGTATTTCCGCTTTTGCGTTCCAAAGAAGATCAGACCTCGAAAGATTGGAACTATATACATATCCATCCTTCCCTCCAGGTTGAGTTCCAATATCGCTTCGAGGACTTGTATGAACTCGTGGTAGTCAAGAAACAGGAGTATGAGCACCTCCAGCCTGCCTTCATCCATTTCCCAGAGTTAGATCAATACGAAACTAGAGATCTATTCACC